TACGGTGTATACCATAAGTGGAGAAAATAAATAAATAGTTTGAATAATCTCAATTCAAAAATAAAAAATTAAAAGAGTAGGAAAAAACTGGCTTCAACAAAAGTCTCTGAGATGGCCCAAGAGGCTCTGAAAGCTCTCTAAAAACCGCTAAGAGCCTTTTTCCAGCCGAAAAATGGGGGAAAAGGAAGGCGACGAGAACGACATGTTCAGTAAAACTTGTAGCCGCTATGCAACGAATTTTTCCCGCAAGAAGATTTATAAAGTTTATAAAACTATATCGTTATGAATGAACAAAGGTGAATCGGGAAGTCGATACAAGTAGGTACCGGGTAGCGACCGCTAGTGAGGTAGCTACTTATTAGCAGCTTTCATGATACCGGAAAGCATACAGCGATACCACTCCGGTAGTATCCAGGTACCATAGATATAGTACACGGACGCATACAAACAACCACCGATTAGAATACGCTGATTGATTTCAAAGTTGCTGCCCGGTACAATCTTGTAACGACCTCTCGATTGACCAGTGAACAAGAAAATAAGTTGAAGGGCAAAAAATTAAATTCTATTTTTACCCCTAAAGTTTTCTAGAGAAAATGGGAAAAATACGAATCAAAGTTGCCAGAAAATTTACTCTTCACCATTATATCAGTTTTAATAGTTAGAAACTCGAAATAAGAAACGTTGAAAGACAAAAAGAGAACTTTACATTTTTTTAGGCCAAAATTTTTTTGTTGAATAAATTGCTTTTTAGTTCAATAATTTTTGCATAGTAATACAGTAGATAATATAAATTTCATATTGTGAAAAGAAAAAAACATGAAAAAAACCATAGAAAGAAACGAAATTATCAAAAAAACTACGAAGAAAACAAAAAAATGATTTTGAAAATTAGAAACGTTTGGCAAATCTCCAAGTGAATGGGAAAAATATGGTCTCAAAGCGAGGAAATAGTGCGCCAAAACCTTGGCGCCTGCCCAATTTACGTTTTCTTTTTTCTTTTCGTTGTATTTTTGAACAGTAATACATTTATTGATCATTACATCCGTTTTATGAACTGACACATTTCTAAATATTAAACGAGGTCATGTTTCGCACATTAATTTATGTTTTTTCACGTTTTTTTTTTAAATTTTAGGCTCAAAAATTAGAGATTCAATTTTAATTTTTAACCGTTTTCTCCTGCTTTTCTAACTATTTGAGTTCAAAAATAGAAAATAGGAAGTTTTTCAATTTTTATTCAGAGTGGTTTTCCTTCTTCAAAAATAAAATTAGGCCTAAAAATGTAAATTTACAATAAGACTTTACGTAAAGTTCTCTTTTTGTCTTTCAACGTTTCTTATTTCGAGTTTCTAACTATTAAAACTGATATAATGGTGAAGAGTAAATTTTTCTGGCAACTTTGATTCGTATTTTTTTCCCATTTTCTCTAGAAAACTTTAGGGGTAAAAAAATAGAATTTAATTTTTTTGCCCTTCAACTTATTTTTCTTGTTCACTGGTCAATCGAGAGGTCGTTACAAGATTGTACCGGGCAGCAACTTTGAAATCAATCAGCGTATTCTAATCGGTGGTTGTTTGTATGCGTCCGTGTACTATATCTATGGTACCTGGATACTACCGGAGTGGTATCGCTGTATGCTTTCCGGTATCATGAAAGCTGCTAATAAGTAGCTACCTCACTAGCGGTCGCTACCCGGTACCTACTTGTATCGACTTCCCGATTCACCTTTGTTCATTCATAACGATATAGTTTTATAAACTTTATAAATCTTCTTGCGGGAAAAAAATTCGTTGCATAGCGGCTACAAGTTTTTACTGAACATGTCGTTCTCGTCGCCTTCCTTTTTCCCCCATTTTTTTCGGCTGGAAAAAAAGGCTCTTAGCGGTTTTTAGAGAGCTTTCAGAGCCTCTTGGGCCATCTCAGAGACTTTTGTTGAAGCCAGTTTTTTCCTACTCTTTTAATTTTTTATTTTTGAATTGAGATTATTCAAACTATTTATTTATTTTCTCCACTTATGGTATACACCGTAGCGTCAATCGAGAATTTTTACTGAATAGAATAAATTAATAAAATTGACCCTCGATATTTTTTTTCTACTGGTCGCGGATAGAAACAGTATATCCGTCAACAGCAGCTCGACGAAGGTGTTCGGATGCTCGAATTCTGCTAAAGTTTACTCTTACGACAACTTCACCTAAAAAGTTTCATGGAATGATATTACATGAAAACGAGTAAAATTTGTCTCATTCACTAAAAAACCGCGAATGTTCGAAGACTTACCTCAGTAGAAGTTATTCTCTTGTAAAGTTTTTTTTGACTCAGATTTAACGTCAAATACAAAGTAAGGCTATTCAATAGGACGAAAATTATTGAAAAAAGCTTTGAACGTCTTTCCGAAAAATCTCACTTTTTCTGAGCTCTATTTGAAAGTTCGCGAATTCTTTTCAATTACATCTGTACGATTTTCACTAGAGTTTGCAATTATTGGAATAAGCTATAACCCGAAAAAACCTGATATTGCAAAAGTTGAACTGGTAATGGGAAGAAAGATCAGAGGGGCCGTATGCAAGAAAATTGGAAAATCATGTTCCGTCATCTTCTTGAAAATAGAGAGCGGCTTGAACTCATCATTAACTCATTAATCTTGACTTTTCCAATGTAATGAGGTTTTATAAGAAGGTTCAATCAGGATAGAACAAAATTCATGTATAAAAGAAAAATCAAAGTTATATTGGAGTTTCAGGAAAATCGTGGAATTTTTCACCTTATTGCACAGGATATGGCGGCATGAAAGAGAACAGTTTCACTTTTGAGCCCGAAAGAAAGTTAGAAGAAAAATACCGTTTTTTTCAAACTGTAGTGAAATCTCTCCTAATGAGCCGTTCGCACTTTTCTTGATGATGGACCAACATTCATCGTTTTCTTTACTCCGATACTTCATCGATGTGGATTCGAAGGAATCTAATCCCGCTGAAAATCTTGTTCTCCTATGAGCTATAAAAAAGGTGACCTTAATTGCAGAAGAATTGAACAGTCTTGAAAAAATTATTGATAAAGTTCAGTTTCTAAATGTTCAAAATTCACGAAAAGGAAAACAGATGAATCCAGTTGTTGATATGTTCTAAATTCACGGACTCTACCGACGATTTGTTGGGCGAAGCTTCAAAACTATTGGTTCTAGTGAGCATGAGATGGTCCGCGTTGGGATGGGTTCGCCTGAGACTTGGTTCTGATTTTGGTTTGGAACATCATGACTCGAAAAAGAGCCGGCAGATTTTCTCGACTTGGAAGTACATCTAAAAAAATGACAAATCATTGCAAAAAGAGAAATTTTTGTTCAAAAAAATTTGAGAAATCAACGGAAGAAACTGTACCTTTGGTTCGGAATGAACATGTTTTTTTGGTTCGGAATGAACACATGAAAAAAATTCCCTTTTTTGGTTCGGATGATTACTCAATTGGTTCGGAATGAATACTCAATTGGTTCGGAATGATTAGGTTCGGATGAACACTTGGTTCGGATTTGGTTCGGAATGATCAGGTTCGGATGATTGTAGGCCTGAAAAATCATATCCCTGAAACGAAAAGTTTGCGCAGATAGCGACTGTGCGGGATCGATTTCCAGTCCATCAAAGATTTTTTGAGCAATTCAAATTTACAATGGTTATGATATCCAATTAACAGACGTTCTCTGAGAAAGTCGATGAACTGAGAGAAAATTTTTTCTTCACAGGTGGGGTTAGTTAATCCACCTAGTGGTCTTTTTACCTTTGGTACAAGAATTTCAAGTTCTGTTTTGAAAGTTAGAATCATTATCACAGTTACTAGACATGATTTTTAATCTTTTAGGCTAGTTACTGTGAGGCTCCGCCCCCTCACTGGGTTACGGTAGGACTTTCAGTGAAATTTTCTAACTTTTTTCCTAGTTGACGGATCGATTCCAAACTTTTTTTAAAGCACACATAACGGTATTTTAAAGCATTTTCATTGATAAATTAAAAAAGAAAATTTTTTTTTACTTCGAAAAATTTTTTTTTATTTTAAAAATCGTTGATTTTTTTCTTTCTTGCGCTTTTTGGACGGTTGGGACCCAAAATGTATTGAAATTTTATTTCATAAATCGAAGCGTAAGGCCTTTTTGAATCAGAAAAAAATGGGTTCATGTTCAAGTTTCGGGGGACGCAGTTGCTCGCCGAAGACCAACTCGGAGTTGACCAAATTTTCGAAAATTTCTAACTATTTCGGAAAATACATCATGGTTTCTTTTTGTATGTTTCGGCTAGAAATCAGAGTTTTTTGAAGCTTCAGCACTCTAAAAGTATAGTATTCACTCTGTTTTTTTATTTTTGGATTTTTCATGTTTGGCTGTTTTTTCTTTTATTTCAATTTTCAATTTGAAAATGGTTTATGTGTAGTACGATTATATATTTTTCTTCCTGAGGCAAAGATTATCAGAAATTTGAGAGAACAAATTTCCGCAAAATCAGAAGTTTCAAGTAACCTTAAATTCGGAAATTCTAAAAATAACGATTTTAGAAAATTGGATCCAATTTTTTTTTTCACGTTCTCTTCACGTTCCCCTGGCGCCCTAGACTCATCAAGCTTCTTCAAAGTTCCTTATCGCAGGAAATTCGTAAAAAAAAAACATTTTTCACTCAGACATGTTGTCTGATTGTACAGCGAGATGCTGATAAGAGACGAGAGATAAAAAAATAATTGAATTTCGGGGGCTTTTTCGCTTCCATTTGTACGAAACGCTTCGATTCATTTCAAAGTTACATTTCAGATTTTTTCCAGCCTTTATCAATCATTTCTTCTTATCATTCCTCTTGGAAAGGAACACTTTTTTTTGAAGTTCAAAAATTTTTCGTTTACAGTATTTTTTCCTATGGATTCCTCGCTTATTTCAATCTTACTAGGCAGATTTTCAGTGCAATTAACATGGATATCTTATTTTTCCTTTTGGTTCTCGTAATTTTGAACTTTTTCAGCCAAAAATGACTTCTGAAGACGTCGAAGGGCTCACGGAGCAAGTCACCAAAATGACTATCGTGGTACGGTTTTAACTTGATCAAAATAAAAATATAAAAACGTGGAACCGTCATTTTTACTATACTAGATGACTATGAGCAGCACAACGGTTTGACAATTTAATCTAAAATTTTAGTTCCAGTTACAAAAAAACCTTCAGTTCTAGTCTAGGGATTCTTTAAGGTCCATGAATTAATTCTAAAGCGAAATCCCTGAAATTTCTTAAAAAATGAACGCCTGAGAACTGACCGGACGGGTACAGGGGCCGATGGGGTTACTCAAAAATTGCGGTGAAAAAACGACTTCCGCTCTCTTAGATTTTTCACCCTTTTCTTATAACTTTTAAAGAAAGGAGATTTTGAATCGGTTCCTTTAAACACGCGTCCGACCTTAAAACGATTTCCGCTTTCACTAAACTAAATTTGCAAGCTTTGATTCTAAATTTGAACCGCAGCGCGAATGCAACGCGTTTATTCATGCTTTTTTGCGAATAAAGTAGATTTTTTATCATTTTCCGATATAACAGTCTTCCATAGGCTTTACGGGCCCTTTGAGCGTCCGTCACAGATCAAAAGATTTCCATTAATTTTTCCGAAACGGGTGGAAATGGTTTCCGTTTTACTGCCTTTTTCCGTCCTTTCATCGGCCTTTATCCACCCTTTTTGGACCCTTTTGAGAAACACAAAGTTTTCCAAATTGAGAATATCTTTACTAGTGACTGTGTGTGCACCAAAATGTGCTACAGTAATAAAATCGGTAATCATTAACGGCTATTTTAGCACCCTTTTTGCACCATTTTCGGACCCTTTTTGGACCCATTTTGGACCCATTTCGCACCCGTTTTCCGCACTTCCGACTTGGGCAGTGTTCGATAGAACTAAAGACAGGGGCCCTGGGTCGCGTCAGGACCCAACGGGCTTGCCCCGGGGCGACCCGACCCGAAAAGTTGTGGTAAAAATGTTGAAAAAAAATGGCTCTTCTGAAAATGTGACCGCTTCTCGGGTCGGCCCGCCCGTCTCATAAGCCCAAATTCCAGGAGCCCGTGGAGATCAGAAAAGCCCTCGTGCTCCGAACCGAAGACCAGTTCATCTACCTCGTGATCTTGCACGATCCGCCCTACCGGAGCACGGTGGCCTTCCGGGATCGGATGCCGCCCTATGAGCAGGACGTCCGAAGGGGCGACATCCACGTCGTCCGGGTCCAGAGGGTTTCTCCGCCGCCTTTCGTCAATTACGAAGTCCTCGAGTTCGTTTCCTTCGCGATGAGGGTTCTTGCGATCGGGAACCATTTCGAGGTGGGTCTAGAGTTCAAATTATTCGTCAAAATCGAATTTTCAACCGGTTTTGTTTTATATTCGAAAGCTTGGTTCAAAAATGTTTATGTTAAAGACCAATCGGGAAAATTCCAAAATCGCTGGTGGGGGGCCAAATCAAATGTGGGGGCTATATCTTATTATAGAATCCATTCTAAAATCGCTCGTTCGGACGGGCCTGGGGGTTATTTCCCACACACTAGTGGGGGCCATTCTAGAATAATCGCGATCAATCTTTAAAAGTTTGGTTTAAATAGAAGGTCATTTTTAGCGTAAAGTCCACAATTTTTCTAAAAAAATTTGCTCAAAAAAATCTTTGATGGACTGGAAATCGAAACCCCATAGTCGCTATCTGCGCAAACTTTTTTTTGTTTGAGATATGATTTTTCAAAATTTTTATCCTTAACCATGTGACGCCGTTTGGAAGGAATATGTCCGCGCCACCAGCCATTGCACGGCAGCTAGGAGCGTGGTGCAGTGGCTAGCGTGTTAGCCTTCGAAATGTACGACGAAGGTTCGAATCTTTTCTTCGCCATCGTTTTTGCCATTATTTTTTTTGACGGATTATGATGAACATATCGAAATTTCGTGATTAAAACCGTTCCAAAACTGTAAAAATTCGAAAATTTTTTTAAATTTTTCAAGGCTTAGATTTTTGAGTTCAGAAGCTCAAAAGTACTCAGAAAAAGCCAAAAGTGCGCGTTTTAGGCCGAAAATTGACTCCAAACCAAAAGTCAATTTCAATAAAAAAATAATTTTTTTCAGACCTTCGGGACCTACCGCAATTCCGTCCTGACGACATTACAAGGTAAAAAAATCCTCTTCCTCAAATTTTTTCGAGAAATTTCCAGAAGGAATCGTTCTCACTGACGACAGGAATATTTATTCTCATCAAGAAGTTGACGAAAAAAGACCATTTTTCATCGTCCGATTTCAAGAATTCACAAATCGTCTATCAGATTATCAAACCAATTTCTATGCTATCGAGGTTGGAAAATTGACCTTTTGGTGGGAATTTTTATTTTAGCTCACCCCGGAAATCATTCCCAAGCCTCCTACGCCGGTTGTTGAACTACAGGTTGATTTTCTTGAAGTTTACAAAAATTTAAAATGAAAATAAAGAGGATGATAGGACTGAAGATGAGAGATCAACAGGGACCTGAAGAGACGCCAGAGAAAACGAGATTGTCTAACCGTCTGGCGTCTCTCCGAGCCGCCGTTGATCTCTTCTTGTGCGTAATTTTTTAGAAATAAACAGACAAAAACATTGACAAGGAGAGATCAATGGTCGCCTGAAGAGACGCCAGAGAAAACGAGATTGTCTAACCGTCTGGCGTCTCTTCAGGTGTCCGTTGATCTCTCCTTCTGCGTATTTTTTTTTTTGAAATGAACAAGACTTAAAAGAGGCGAGATGAGAGATCAACGACGGCCTGAAGAGACGCCAGAGAAAACGAGATTGTCTAACCGTCTGGCGTCTCTTCAGGTGTCCGTTGATCTCTTTTTCTGCGTATTTTTTTTGAAATGAACAAGACTTAAAAGAGGCGAGGCGAGAGAACAACGGTGTCCTGAAGAGACGCCAGAGAAAACGAGAGTTTCTAACCGTCTGGCGTCTCTTCAGGGGGCCGTTGATCTCTCCTTCTGCGTATTATTTTAAGAATAAACAAACAAAAACAAAGGTGAGAGATCAACGGTGCCCTGAAGAGACGCCAGAGAAAAAGAGAAACTTGAACTCTCTGTTGTCTCTCAGAAACTCTTTATCTATCGCTTCCTGGTCACAAAAAAAGCCTACGCGAGAGATCAATGACGGCCTGAAGAGACGCCAGGAAAAATAAAATCTCTATTCGTCTGGCGTCTCTTCAGTCCGTCGTTGATCTCTCTTTTTAATTTTTATATGCTCTTTTGACTGTCTGGGCATTTATGGGCATTCTGGAAAGAATTTAGAAAATTTGATAATTATCCATGAAGCGCAGAAACCGCTAGAACTTTAAAAATTGCAACTAATTGACTGAAAAAAATTATCTGAGCATTCTGCAAAATATTGAGAAAAATCGAAAAATTATCCATGGAGCGCAGAAACTGCCAGAACTTTCAAAATCGAAAAGGCTCTAAAAAAAAAGGCTCTAAATTTTCCAGAAACAACTCGCGTTAGTCACACAAGTCGATCAGGACAACGCAAGGGCGTTCGTCGTCACTTTGAGCCGCGGGGAAAAAACCGAGTCCTCGTCGCCCTGCTCAACTTTTTGCCGGCTTTCTATTTTCAAATCAGACACGGCCAGATCATCTGGATAAATAGCGAGAAAGAGTCTGGGAGAATCGTGAAAATCGACAGAACCTTCGCCTCGTTGGACTACGAATGTGGAACCTATAAGGTCAGTTTTTCTTTTGAAAGCTTACAAAGGGGGGTCATTTTACTTTGCGGTTGGGAATTGCCTGAAATTTGGTCAGAATACTTCTTCATGTACCAGAGGAAGACCCTGAAAGTCCTAACCTGTAAAACTTCCTAGTTTTCGAGAAATAAGGGGTTAAAGCCCCAAAATAGCCTAATTTTAGGGATTTTGAGGCGTCTTTTCTCGAAAACGAGGAAGTTTTGCGGGTTGAGACTTTCAAAATGTTCTTCGGGTAGATCAAGGAGTGTCCTGGCCAATTCTCAGGGACCGCAAAGTAAAATGACCTCCCTTGTTAGAACTCAATTTGCATGGCACAAAAAGCATCATTAAAAGCTGAAAAAAAATATTGATATGGTTTGAAATTCAAAAAGTGGCCACTTAAGAGGTTTTCCTGAGCTTCTACTGCAAGCTTTGATATTAATTACCGTTTTAGGAAGCCTAATTTCATCCAAAAATCATTCAAAATACAAAATTAAGTTTTATAGCGTCTCAAATTAGAAAAGTGGTTTTTTTCCTGCAAGATTACGTGTAGTTAACTTCCGGTAAATGCTCAAAAAGCACTGAAAATATTTTGAAAAGCCTTTAAGGGTCTTGAATTACGAAATGGTTCCTAAAGAAGTCTTCAAAAACCCTTTGAAATCCTAAAAATACCTTTTCAAACTTTCCTAGAAGTACTTTACTCTCTGCGTCATAATTATTAACACAACCTTTATTTTTTGAAATATTTTTTAAAAGCTTCATTCGCAAAGAAGACGGCTTGGGGCTTCTAAAAAAGTGCGCCCGACCTCAAAGCGACTTGCGCTTCTGGTCTCTATCTTGTAACCGCTGCGCGATCGTCGTGCTCTGAGCCATTCCAAATGCGACCAGAGAGTTTGAAATCGTCGAAAATTGATCGATTTCTTTTTTACAAACAAGTTTCTGGCTAGAAAAACCGTTGCGACGCGTTTTCTGTGATGAATGAGAAGCATAAAATTTGAAAATTCATAGACAAAGTCGGAAAAAGGCTTCTTTTTTACTACCTTTTTCCGCCCTTTCATCGGCCTTTTCCCACCCTTTTTGTACCTTTTTTTCACCTTTTTTGGACCCTTTTTGAATCCTTCTTGGACCCTTTTTGGACCCTTTTTGAATCCTTTTTGGACCCTTTTTGAACCCTTTTTGGACCCTTTTTGGACCCTTTTTGAACCCTTTTTGGACCCTTTTCGGACCCTTTTTGCACCCTTTTTGCACCCTTTTAAAGGCTTTTTTTAGTCCACCAAGAAAGGCTCAATAAAGGCCCCAAAACGAAACCCTTTCAGCGGCCATTTCGCACCCCTTTTCCGCATTTCCGACTTTGGCAGTGTTACTTCAAAAAAAAAAATTGTTCCAGATTGGGGCAACGATGACTCCGGATGGCTTGCGTGCCGTTGATTGTGAGTTTCTGATCCAAAATCTCTTCAAAGAAATTTCTAGTCGGTTTCCCTATCGAATATTCGCGGAACTTGGAAACAAACCAGAGCTTTTATGCCCATTTTAACGTGATCCGGTACGAGGAATCGGGCAACCAGGCCGTTTTCTGGGCCTCTTTTTGTGAGTTTTTTTGAATTTAATAGAAAATTTAAATTCAAAAATGTTCAGGAAACATAAATTCAGAAAAAACGACGCCAAAATTCAAAAAAAAAAAGTCGGCTGAAAATTTTCGGATTTTGCGCTTCACCGCTAATTTCAGTGATACTTCAATTTCCAGCTGATCTTTCCATTGAAAAAAATTGAGCAACTTATGAAAAAAATTGCGGAAAAAAATGAAAATTGGAAAAAAATTAGCCGTGGAGCGCGGAATCAGGGGAAAAAAATCGGCCGCTCGTCATAATTTTTCTTCTATTTTTTTAAAAACTATTTTTTTCAGCGGTTTTTTTCGTCATTGAAATCGAATTTTTTTAACCTGAAAAAAACTGAAAAAAATCTAGTAAACAAAAAAATCCAGAAGAGAGGTTGAAAAAAAGCGCCGAAATTCAAAAAAAGGCGGCTTAAAAAAATTTCGGATTTTGCGCTCCACTGCTAATTTAAGTGAAACTGAACTTGGCAAGCACGAAAAGTTAAGCAAAAAAACAGAAAAAAATAACGAAAAAAATTGAAAAATTGAAAAAAAATAGCCGTGGAGCGCACAATCATGCGAAAAAAATCGGCTTCTCATCATAGTTTTTTCTTGCATTTTTTTGGAAATCAAGACTTTTTTTAGCGGTTTTTTTCGTCATTCAAATCAACTTTTTAAACTAAAAAAATTTGAAAAAAATTGAATTTTTTTCTATATTTTTGATCCAAATTTAATCTACAAGGCTTCATGCTGCGGAAAAAAATTATTTTTTGAAAAAAATGGATATAAAAACTTCCAATTTATAAACCAACATAATTTACAGGTTGAAAACAACCCTGAACTCCGGGAAAACGATCCGCAAATGCCGTGGAACCAGTGGACTTGTTTAAACTAAAAAAAACATTTTTTGTACATTTTGAGACCCCTTTTCCAGAGATTCTCCGCAGCACTGGTTTTGTTGGCTTTAATGCATTGAAATAAAGATTTTGGCGCCTGAAGAAATGCAAGAAACGACTCAAAAAATCGTACTTTTCATGAATTTTCTTGACACTTCCCTACAAGGAGACATTCTGCTTCAGAATTTCCTGAAAATCGGCCGAAATTTTTTTCAATGTATCCGGTGACGATCCTGGAACTCAAAGTGCCCAATTTTCGAGAAAAGTTGAAAAAAAAAACAACAAAAATTGGTAAAATAGTCAGTTTTGACGCTTTTCATGAAAGCTGGTCCCTACAGGGTTCAGGAAAAACGGTTCCTACAAGGGAAAAAAAAATCTCGGTACTGGTCCCTATAGGGTCTGACTTCTAAGCCCCTAAAGCTCAAGTGGTCCCTATAGTGGTCCTTAATTTTATTCTTATCAATTTATTGAGTTTTTCGCATGAGTTAATGACAATAAACGACTAGTATGTCCCCTTAAGAGGTCACTTTTTCAAGCTTTAATGGGGGAAGGTAAAGAGGTCCCTAGAGGGGCCCTTTCAAAAGCTTATAATGTAGCCCTATAGGGACCACTCTGTAGTTCCAAAGTGAGTAAAAAGCTGTACTGGGAAAACTTTAAGTGGCCACTTAAGGAGTTAAAAATTAGTGGCCAGTATAGAGGTCTAAGTGCGACTACTAGACCACTTAGTGGCCACTTTAGGGGTCAAGATAACTGGTCCAATCTGTTTGTTTTAAGATTATCAGAGTTACTGGAAGGAATACTGGATGAAAAACTACTATAGTGGCCACTTGATAGAGAACCTCTATAGTGGCCTCTTAAACGGAAAATAGTGGCCACTTTAGAGGTAGGTTTAGTGGCCACTTTAGTGCCCTCTCCAAGTAGTCCTTGGCGAGCCTCTATAGTGGCCACTAAACATTTTCTTAGTACGGGTCCAAACTTTAGGATGCAACTACATCAAAGAGGGATTTCTTAAATTTCAAGTTAGAAAGTTTGAAAGTTTTATTCAGTCTTCAGAGAAGGTACTCTGCTGAATCATGGAATAATTGAAGAGTTGTTTGTCGGTTCGCGATAATGTCGTTGATCAAGCGTAGACGGCGCGTAGAGCATCTCGTCTTTCTTGTGATAGTAGTAGACGATTTTCGAGCGTTTCCGACGATCACTGCTTCTCCATGTAGGAACAGTACGGCGCCCAGCTTGTCCAGGGCTGACGGGCGTCGGATTGAATCTCGGACGAGAAATGAAGACCGACCACTCGGGTGGTAGAAATGAGATAATTTCAAGAAAAGTCTTGATTTTTTGACGATCCGCTTCTTGAAACCTTCCTGATTCCCTGGCCAAAAAAAAATGGCTTGATTCTTAGATATTGGATTTATTCATCTAAACAGCAGTGATGAGAAAAATGACGAGAGAGAAAAGAGAAGAAGAGAAAATAAGACGATTTGTGGAATTGAAGACACTCATCACTTGGTCTTTGATCGAGCCGATCGCCTCTTAAATTTCCTGATCACACACATATATCTACAAAAAATACCGTATCTCAAAAAATTTCTACAGTAACCTGTTACGGTATATACTGAAAATTTTTAAAAATTGGTTTACCTATCGATTGATATATCACTTGCCTAGTAAAAACCCTTGACCACTTAGATACGCAGGCTGCCTACCGTAACCCGGCTACAGGGAACGGCTCAAAAAGTTGCGTCCGCATTTCTGATGATGGGTTATCACACTGGATGAAGTTTGAAACCTAGTTCCAGTGGACCTAGTTCTCCCTAGAAGTTATAGATCCCCATACGAGCTTCAGACTTGGACCGCTTCGCGACCGCAACGCCCCGAGCCATTCTACATGCATCCTTCAGTGACATCTACAGACCTTCGGCGTCACTAGGCGGAGACTCGGTCGGAGGCAAAGGTCGGGCTCTCAAGGGTCGGCCCGTTTTGCAGTGAGGGTGTGACTCGCACACCTTGCAGAAATCCGGGCAACGAATTTTCCGGATCACCGTGTAGGTTGTTCCAAAGCTCTGTAGAAATTTAGAGTCTTACAATAAAAATTATAAGTTTTTTAGAATCTTTATATGAAAGTTAAGGCGGAAAGTCAACGGCGCCCTGAAGAGAGTCTAGAGAAAGAGAAATGTCTGGCGTCTCTTCAAGGAACTCTGCTCTCTCCTTTCCAAGCTTCTCTATGGAAAACTAGGCACAGGAAGAGCCTAGACGAGAGATCAACGACGTCGTGAAGAGACGCTAGAGAAAGAGAGAAATCTCTGCCGTCTCTTCAAGCGACTCTACTCTCTCGTTTACAAGCTTCTCTATTGAAAACTAGGCACACTGCGAGAGATCACCAACGACGTGAAGAGACGCTAGAGAAAGAGAGAAACTTAAAATCTCTGCCGTCTCTTCAAGCGACTCAGCTCTCTCGTCTCCAAGCTTTTCTATTGAAAACTAGGCACACTGCGAGAGATCAACAACGGCGTGAAGAGACGCTAGAGAAAGAGAGAAATCTCTAGCGTCTCTTCAGGCGGCTCTGCTCTCTCGTTTGCAAACTTTTCTATGGAAAACTAGGTACAGGTAGAGCCTATGTGAGAGATCAACGACATCCTGAAGAGACGCCAGAGAAAGAGAGAAATTCTTTTGTCTGGCGTCTCTTCAAGCTATCGTTGATCTCTCGCCTGGAACTGTTTTTCGTCTGCTTTCCTGTTTCGGAAGCGAGAGATCACAGCGACTCGAAGAGAAGTTAGAGAAAGAGAGAAATTCTTTTGTCTGGCGTCTCTTCAAGCTATCGTTGATCTCTCGCCTGGTATATTTTTTGAAAGCGAGAGATCACAGTGACGTGAAGAGAGTCCAGAGAAAGAGAGCACGCCGACTTCTCTGGTGTCTCTTGATCTCTCGCCTCTAAGTTCCGACCATCAAGAGATCAACAACGGCTGTAGAGGCTCTAGAGAAGTCAGAAATCTTTATTCGTCTGGCCTCTCTTCATTTTACCGTCTCTCTCGTTTTCGTATATCATCTGGCTACACTATCATTCCAAAAACTTTGAAATTTCAGTTTTTTAAGCCTTTTTTCAAATTTTCCACAAATTCATGAACCCTTTTTCATTCCAAAGACCTGAAAATATGCCTCAAAAATGCCATTTTTCAGCTTTTATTCGGATTTTTCGGATAAGTTCATGAGCCTTTTTTCGTTTTAAAGTCCTGAAAAAGCCTAAAAAATGTCATTTTTCCGATTTTTCCAATTTCTATAAACTCACACTCGATAGGAGAGTCGTCCCGAAAGCAGGCCACTGATTATTTCTGTCATAATTCTGGAAAAAGTCCCGATTTCTTCAAAATATGATTTGTATTATTGCCTCTCGAACAGTGATAACTTCATTTTCCTTTCTGCATCCGTACTTTTTGCCTTGAGCCTTGAAAACGACGTGGTCGCGGTCACAAGTTACCTTGAAAAATGCGAGAATATTTATCATAAAAAATCGAAAAAAATGTTTCTAATTTAAAATGTTTCGTATAAAGAGAGAACTTAGGGAAAAAAAATTCTTGGAGAAAAGACTTTTTCAGAGGAAAAAAATATAGGGATTTTTTTCACTTGGTCAGCGATTTTTTTAAAGCCAATTTCTAGCCTCGTCTCTAAAAAAATCAGACAATTTTTCGAAATTCTGTCGAAAAAAATAAATTATAGACGTATAATTCATCAATTTTTTTAGTAGTTTAAAAAGTCGGCAAAGACTCCAAAAAGGCACCTCAAAGCACCCAGAAACGTCGTAGGACATTTCGCTGACGGCTTTTCCGTTTTCGTCCTGGACAAAAGAGCCATGAAGATTGACGGTCGTCGAGCCGACGTGGGGCAAGCACCGGTAGTTCTGTATGAAAAAATAACTTCCGGTTTGAACTTGAAAAGTAAAGATTTTCTCGCAGTCCAAAAATTTTGCAGTTTTACTACAGTTTTGCTTCATGAACTGCTTGAAAAAAAGTTTTTTTTTCTGAAAAATGGCCCTTCTGACGTTTCTAAAGCGTACGTAGAGCGTTCGGACAAGTTTTAAGACACTGCGACATTGCGACATCGCGCGCGACTTTACGACATCGCACGCGACATTGCGACATCGCGCGCGACATTTCGACATCGCGCGCGATATTTCGACATCGCACGCGACATTGTGACATCTCACGCGACATCGCGCGCGACGTTGCGACGCCGCCTCGACACAGCCAAAACTTTGACAAAAAAAAAGTTTCCTAGAGGTAGTTTTTTACGCTGATTTCATATCTGGTCTTAAAAATGACCGCGGATGTCAAGGAAAAAAGTTATGGTCCTCAAAAATCAATAATTCCTAAGAGCTCTTTTTTCAAGAGTATTCATGTAAAGTCAAAAATAACCGTTAGAGAAATGAAAAGATAACTAAAACTTGGAGAGTCAGAGATATTTTCAAAACCTGCGCACGGCTTTCATGAGCCTGTCAAAAATTTCAAACCTTGATATTCGTCCCGTAATCTTTGCAATTGAAGACCTGGAAAAGGTGCATGGAAATGAAAAGAATATAAATTTCGATTTCGAACCCTCCAAGTGGTACATTGCGCCATGGAGTGCTTTCTGTTGTCGCGCGCATAGTGAGAATTGAAATCGTTGAAACAGGAATGTGCTCTATGAAAAAATATGTTAAATTTTTAAGATTATTTTCATTTTGGAGGACCACAACCTTTTCAAAGGGAAAAAATGTCGAAAAAGTCATCTTTTCGAAGCGAAAAACCCACTCTTTTTTCTCAAGTTGACGTAAATGACACGAGCCGACAGTGTTGCAGCCTTTCGCCCCGGGGAGCGGAGCCATGAATTCATGTTTTCTGAATATTTCTATCAATCAATAGATCAATCAATAAATCGATCAATCAATCAATCAAACAATATATCAATCAATATATCAATAAATAAATCAAACACTATATCAAACAGTAGATCAATCAATATATCAATCAGTATACCAATCAATAGATCAATCAACAAATCAATCAATAAATCAATAGATCAATTAATAAATCAGTTTTCCATGAATACATCATATCTATAGACCTTACAAGCCAGACAGAAACAAATAAAAAAAAAATTCAAACTTGAGACGGAAAATTTTCAGAAAAGCAATAAGAATAGGTACAGTTCAAAACGCAGAAAGCAAAAAAATTATCAGAAATCGCACTTGGATTGGCTCTCTGCGTAACGGCTGTTTCAAAACGCGACCGACTTGAAACAACTTGCGCCAAAGGGTATTGAAAATCATGAGATTAAGATATCAAGTTGCCCCAACGCAACCGACTCAAAACAAATTTGCGCTAAAACGTATTGAAAATCGTTAGACTGAGTCTTCAGAATGGCGCAACGCGACCGCCACGCTTCGAGCCATTCCAAATGCGGCATTTTTTTTTTGTGAGACTTTTTCCTCTTTTCATCATTTTTTGGTTCTTCTATATGCGCCTCTGAGCTTTTTTCCTGACCGCATTTGGAATGGCTATGGATGCAACGCGACCGCCACGCTTCGAGCCATTTCAAATGCGGCATTTTTTTTTGTAACATTTTCCCTCTTTTCATCATTTTTGGTTGTTCTATATCGGCTCTGAGCTTTTTCCTGACCGCATTTGGAATGGTTATGGGCCCAACGCGACCGCCAGGCTTCGAGCCATTCCAAATGCGGCCAACATTTTGCGGAACCCTCGATAACAGTCCTATTTCTCTGCGCACTCTGGTATCCAAGTGCTATTTTCTTGTTACTGCTATGAGGGAAAAGAGGGCGCAGACAAGTCAGAGTAAATCAAAAACCAACGAGTAGTCCACTTGGTACCATCCCGAGTCCTCCATCAAAGCCATCGACATGTTCGAAAACGACATTTTCATGCTCATTTCGTCAGGTCGCATCGTTTCAAACTGAACTTTTCGCGGCTTTTTTTCAAAGTTTCCCCGCCTACCGGTGCAAAATCCGACTCGTAGTGGCCCATAAAACTGCCCGGATCGCCATTATTTTCCAGCTCGACCATTTTCAAACTGCTACAGCCGTAGTAATTCCTAGCTGCGCGCAAGGTGTTCCGGAATGTGATTCCGTGAATTTTCTCGTCCTGTGAGGAAAAAAAATTTTTTTGTAGCGAATCAAAGGCAACACATTTTTTCACATGACAGATTCACTCTGATAGTCAATTTGGCAATTGACTATCAGAGTGAATCTGTCATAAATAAGGTGAATGCTATGAAAAGAGCGAATTTTTCTTTTCCGAAGAGTACTGTATGTAAAAGTCCGCAATTTGACGTCTGCACTTTGCGTGTTTGCACCATGAGCTTCAAAATTTCAAAAATTGGGAGGTCGACCACCTGAAATTTTGAAAATTTTTTTCTTAGAAATGAGTCAGAATAATAATTTCTGCAAAAATTTAGAAAAAAAAGCAAAAAATGCGGAAAATGTGCAAACACGCAAAGTGCACACGCCAAGTTGCGGACTATCACTTACAGTAATCTTCGGAAACGGAAAAATCGTAAAAGACACTCAAAGTTCAGCGGATGAACTCCACCTTCTGTCAAAAAATAGTCAATGCTAAGAAAAGAGCGAATTTTTCTTCTCCGAGGAGTACTGTATGTAAAAGTACGCAAATTGACGTCTGCACTTTTTGTGTTTGCACTGTGAGCCGTCGATCTCCCAATTTTTGAAATTTTGAAATTTTTTTAGAAATGAGTCATAATAATAGTTTCTGCAAAAATTTAGAAAAAAATGTGAAAAATTCGGAAAATGTGCATACACGCAAAGTGCACACGCCAAATTGCGGACTCTCACTTACAGTAATCCTCGGAAACGGAAAAATCGTGAAAAACACTCAAAGTTCAAGGGATAAACTCAACCATTTTTTTATATTTTTTTAAATATTGATATCTCTTTTTAGCGATTTTTCAGTGCAGGCAACTGTTAAAGGTCAGTAAAAAAGGAGATTAATTTTTTTTTTTTTTTTCTCAAACATTCTGGATAGCAGTTAGACCCAAACGGTTTTTCACGCTTCTTTAAACACTTGAGCTATTTTTTCCAACTTTAAAAGAGAGCCCAAAAATGATTACCGGGGCCTTTCCAACGAGCTCCGGATAGGCCTGATGACGGGTCGTCGAAATGAGGTGCTTCTGATCGTAACCGACATAATCCTTGTACAGATCGGCGTGGAAAAAAAGGGCATGGGCCACTTCGTGGACAATCGTGTCGTAGAGACCACTACGGGACTGGAAAATCATGCGGGGATCCATGGGCAGAGACAAAAAAGTCCTTACGAAAATCTTGCGGCTCATGTAATTTTTGAGCGATTCCCGGTATACGGTAAGTAGGGCGGATGAGGGTCTGCAAACACGGTTTTTGACATTTTTACGAATTTTTGAACTCTTCAAGGTTAAAACCCTTAAGAGGTCACTTAAAAAAACGCAAAAAAGCCTCCAAAAAGGTCAAATTTCAACTTCTCAAGCTTCTAACGTCCTAAAAAGGGCATAAAATCAGAAAATTCAAAAATAATCTAGTCAAAAAAGTGGAATTTTACATTCTCCTATGCTTTAAAAAGCCGAAAAAAAGGAAAAAAATAATGAAAATTTAAAAAAATAATAGACCAATAAAAAGTCAAATTTATCATCTTCTCAAGCTTCAAAGGTCCAAAAAGCGAGAAAAATGAGCGCTTTTAGGGCCAAAAAAAGGTAAAATTCTATAATTTTTTTCATACTTCAAAAAGTCCAAAAAAATGACAATAGAGGCATTAAGAAATCTCAAAAGACCCGAAAAAAGTCAAATTTTATGTCTTTTTCAAGCTTTAAAGTCTAAAAAAACTCGGAGAAGTTCTTCAGAAAGTTTAAAGGTAAATGGACTTAAAAAAAAATTCAAATTATACAGGTTTTCATGCTTGAATGTTTTGAAAAAAGCAAAAAAAGCGAAAAAAAAAAGTAGAACCAGAAAATGTGTAATTTTACATTTTTTCAAGCCTTAAAGGTCCAAAAAAACCCAAGAGAAAAACCTCAAAAACTTCAAAAGTAGTAGGACAGAAAAAAGTCGAATTTCACCTGTTTTTAAGCTTCGAAGGTTTAAAAAAGCAGAAAAAAGGGTTTTTAAAGTTCAAAGGTCCCAAAAATAGCAAAAAAAAAACAGCTCAGGAACTTCAAAGACAGTAGGACCGAAAAAAGTCGAATTTTACGTGTTTCCAAGCTTTGAAGTTCCAAAAAAAAGTCAAATCCTATATTTTCAACCTTGAAAGCCTGAAAAAAAGCGCAAAAAGGACCAATAAATTGATATTTTGCAAGTTCACAGGTTTAAAAGGTCCAAAAAAACAGAAAAAAGTAATGTCTCAGAAAATTTAAAAGTAGTGTGACAAAAAAATGTCAAAATGTATGTCTTTCCAAGCTTCGGGGGTACAGAAAAATTGGAAAAATCTGCAGAAATTTTCAAAAATGTACAGAAAAAAAAGACAAAAATGACAAAAAATCGAAATATTCACTTCTAAAAGCCTAGAAGTGCAAAAAGGCAAAAAAGGAGAAGAAAGCCTTAGAAAGATCAAAGAAAGTAGAACCACAAAATGTTGAAATTCACATGTTTTTAAGCCTTGAAGGCACTAAAAAAAGCAGGAAAAAAGGCTTCTTTGAGTTCAAAAGTCCCGAAAATAGCAAAAAAAAAAATAGCTAAGAAACTTCGAAGGCAGTAGGACCGATAAAGGTCAAATTTCACATGATTTTAAGCTTTGAAGGTCCAAAAAAAGCAGGAAAAAAGGCCTTTTGAAGTTCAAAGGCCCCGAAAATTGCAAAAAAAATACAGTTCCGGAACTTCAAAGAAAGTAGGACAGAAAAAAGGCGAATTTTACATTTTTTCAAGCCTTGAAGGTCCAAAAAAAAAAAGCAGGAAAAGCCTCAGGAACTTCAAAAACAATATGACCAAAAAAAGTCGAATTTCACATGTTTTCAAGCCTTAAAGGTCCAAAAAAAGCGAAAAAAAAACCTCCGATCAAAGGCCCGAGAACAGGGAGCACAGGTGGCCACTGTGGTCCCATCCCCAGACTTGATGCTAACCAAAATAACCATGTCTACCTTCAAAATTGCCAATATATTTCTTCTGATAAAATGGAAAATCTCACATTTTTCATGGGCACAGGAACCGTTTTGTCCGTACATCTTGGCTGGCCCGGATGACACTAAAAAATTTTTTTTCTGAAATTTTCGTAAATCATTTTAGAAATTAGGATCTCAAAAATAGTTTGTAAATACTGGTCAAGGAAAATTGATTATTTTTAACTTTTTTGGGATATACCTGACATAGGAGGTCATTTTACCTTGCGACTGGAAATTTTCAGGGAAATCCCAACCGCAAAGTAAAATGACCTCCTTGTGAGCCAAAATATGAATTTTCAAAGTTACTGGGAAAATTTTTAGTGGCCACTATAGAGGCTCGCCAAGGACTACTTGGAGGGGACACTAAAGTGGCCACTATAGAGGTTCTATATTTAGTGGCCACTTCAGTAGTTTTTCATCCAGTATTCCTTCCAGTAACTTTGATAATTTTAAAAACAACCAGTTATGTTGATCCATTGACCCCTAAAGTGGCCACTAAGTGGTCTAGTTGTAGCACTTAACCCTCTATAGTGGCCACTAATTTTTAACCCCTTAAGTGGCCACGAATTTGGCTACTATAGTGACTACTAAAACGTTAAAACCCTATAGTGGCCACTAAAAACTTTCCCAGAAGACTCTGTTAGCTCGAACGCTCGGTGAGCCAAAAATTCAAGTGAAAGTGCGCTCCACGGATAATTTCCAAGACTAACCCCAACAAACTTGACGTCATCGGGAAAGAGGTCGACCGTTTTTTGGCAATTTACGGTTTTTCGGCAAATTGCCTTTTGACAACTTCAATCGAAAAATATTTAAAGTTTAAAAATTTTGACCAACTTGTAAGGTAACGTGAGGCCAACGCTGTCGCGGTTGACTTTCGCAAAACTTTCATAAAATCTAATCGTATCTTGAACGCCTTTTTTGAGGAAAGTCTGCTCGGCGGATGAGAGGCTGAATATTTTGATTTTTTAGACTTTTTTTTGTAGGAAGAGTGGTTCCTCTTGATGGTTCTTGTAGGATCCTAGTGGAGTGTGTCCCCTCCTACAGTAAGACTACAGTACTAACACAGTAAGACTATATTAGTATTACAGTACCCAAAGCTACCGTATGGTACTTGTAGGATGCCAGTGGAGTATGTCCCTTCCTACAGTAAGACTACAGTACTAATACATTATATTCTGTAGTACTAAGGTAGCTTTGGGTAATGGGGTACTACTATAGTCTTACTGTGTTAGTACTGTAGTTTTACTGTAAGAGGGAACACACTCCATTAGGATCCCTATCATACCACGGTATTACTGTAGTAGTACGCTAGCTCTGGGTAATGTAGTACTATTATGGTCTTACTGTGTTAGTACTGTAGTATGACTGTAAGAGGGAACACGCTCCACTAGAATCTCTATCATACCACGGTGATACTGTAGTAGTACGGTAGCTTTGGGAGTGTAGTACTACTATAGTCTTATTGTATTAGTACTGTAGTATTACTGTAGGAGGGGACACACTCCACTAGGATCCTTATCATATTACTGTAGTACTACGGTAGCTTTGGGTACTGTAGTACTACTATCTCTACTGATCCTTTCAGAGGGCACTGAATCTTCCAAAAGTGGCCACTCTAGGGAAACATTATATTAATTTCTACACGTCTCTACACAAGGAAAATAAATTAAAAGACCCCTATAGGGACTACTTGAGCTTTAGGGACTGGGGAGTCAGACATTATACCGCTTTATTGGCCTCCTAAGCCCTTGAGGGACTGATTTTCCTCTGACCCCTAAAGGGACCACTCAGGCGTTCCTAAGTTTTTTGTTTCTTCTGTAACTCTGGACAAAGTTGCGACACATTTCTTGGCGGGAAATTCAAATTTAAAAGCTTTTTTAAAAGTAAGAATGAACAAGAACAGGTATCACACCTGTCCACAGTTTTCCCGTAGAAAACTCGGAATTTGATCGGCTCCCACGTAGCAGTTATCGAGCTTTTTTCGACGAAAGGTAGGTAGGGAGGAAGCTCGAAATAGGAAGGGTCGATGGGCTGGAAAAATTCGTTTTTCGTTTGGAAATCACTAAGATTTTGGAGCTGGATACTTCATAAACTTATTAAAGGAGCATGGACTAGAAACAGAAAATATCTCGAGACGAAAGCCGTTTCAATGTTATTTTGAATCGAGAGACCGACTTTTTCTCATTAAAGTCAGAAGAAAGTTCTGAAAAGAACCTATTTTACCTTGAAAATCACTGAGTTTGATGTTAAACTTCGAAATCTTATTAAAGGAGCATGGACTAGAAACAGAAAATATCTCGAGACGAAAAACGGTTTCACTGTTGAATAACTCACACTGAAATGTGCCACAGCGCTACATGGAAAAAAAAAGAACAGAGCAAGGCTCATTTCTCCTCGAAATAAAACTTTCTCTCATCCCTTTCTAAGCGTACACGCCTTAAATTTTATTCTTTAGTCATTAAAAAAACGGGAAAAGTTCATTTAAAAAGGGTTTCATAAGAAAATTTGAACAGAACGGAAAAAATAACCACCTATGGCTTTTTACATGAACATTGTGCCGCTCAAACTTTTTTTTACATCAAGAAAATTTTTTTTGACACTGGCAAGCATTAAAGAAATAATTAAAAGAGAAAAAAAGTTTAAATCTACTCAAAAAGTTAATTTTTTTCAAAATATGCTTATAAAAGCTTCGGTTGTAGTACACTTTACATTATGCTGATCAAAATATTCGAAATCTACTACCATTAAACAAAAACACATAAAAATTGCAAAAAAACAGGAAGGAAAGTTCAGAAAAGCAAAAAACTGGGATTTAAAAACTTTAACCTAAAAAGACCTTTTAAGACCTTTTTAGAGCATTTTCATACGTTTACGATGCTCAAACAGCTTTTATAATGAAATAATAAAATTTTAAATTGTTACCCATCAAAAATAAACACAGAAATAAGGTATAAAGAAGAAAAATTAAGGAAAATCTTCAAAATTTGAAAAATTGAAATTTTCGCGTAAAAAAGCGTCCCTTGGAGCGCACTTTCCTCTGCGTTATTTTCGAAGCGGAATCCAGAAGCTTTTTTTTTCAATTTTTGAAGAACTATTCCTTTTGTTAATGCTTTATCACTTTTTTATGAATCTCTATTTTCAGTTCCGACACTCTTTCTTCTCTCGAAACCTTTTTTTCTTGGTTTCTTATCAGAAAACGGCGGTCTTAAATTTTGTAACAACGCGTCTCTAACGCGATATCTCTTTCTTTTTAGTCTTGAACCGCGGACCCGTTATCAGAGGTCAATGTCCGCGGTGTACTTTCTACTCAAAAAGTTCTAGTTTGGGGTCATTGAAACGTTTCGAATGATGAGAAATAATTTTTTGACAATGGCCGAAATTTTTTTTTTCAAGTTTTTTCTTTTCTAGAACCCCATTAAAATTCAATAGCATTTTTATTGGATATTTCATTTTCAGACTTCTTTTGCTCATTGAAATTGCTCTCCAAAGTGCGCAAGTCCTGACTCGGAAAAAGTGCTCCCGAACTTGTCTCAATTTCCCTGAAAGTGTGTACTTTTTTTGAAGTTTTAAATGGAGTTTGAATGGTTTCTCTTGGGAAATTTCAGAAAAATCAAAATTTGAGCATTTTCTGAAGGTTTTCATGAAGAATAAGTGTACTATATATGTTGTTTTTCACTTTTTTTCTGGATCTGTGCATGAAAATGCCCTAGAAGTCAGAGAAAGAGTCATGGAAGGTATAAAATTCATCGTTCCAGCTCATTTTTGGAACAAAAACGGGAGCTTAGATGCAAAACTAAAGGGAAAAGCTGGAACTAGTGAACCAAAAAATCCCGTTTTGGAAACTCGGACCTCGGTAACGCAAACCGGACACTTCTAAGCATCTGTAGGGATCACTCAAGAGGTCAGAAGCTACTAAAGAAGTCACTAGGTGTGCATTTTTTTTAATAGTCCTATGAAATTTTACATAGGCAAAGTCGGAAGGACCCTTAAGGGACCCTTTGAGCGTCCGTTATAAATCAAAAAGTGTCCATTAACTGTTCCTAAACGGGTGGAAATGGTTTCCTTTTTACTGCCTTTTTCCGTCTGTTCATCGGCCTTTTTCCAGCCTTTTTGGACCCTTTTGAGAAAAAAAAAATTTTTCAAATGAGTGTATTCTTCACCAGTGACTGTGTATGAACCAAAACTTAAAAGGCTTAAAAAAGGCCGCAAAACGCAACCCTTTTTGCGGCCATTTTGCACCCGTTTTCCGCGCTTTCGACCTTGGCAGTGTAGAAACCTTCTTCGGACGTTTTTGAGCATTCCCAGTGATCCCTTTAGGGCCTAAGGGATCACTTGAAATGCTCAGACACATCTGGTTTAGGTTACCAAGGTCCGGGAACTAATATTTTCAACATGAGGAGTCTTTTTTTCAAAAACTACAGATTTTAGAAGTTTGAAATTCCCTGGAGTCATATCTGACACATCAAAGTGTTCTCTGGGCAAGTTTAAAAAAATTATTTATCTTTTTTAAAGATTAGTATAGTCGATGTGCCACAAGTTGAAATTTCATGGAACGACACTCCGCTGTTACGATTTGTGCGGTAGCGCGCATCGTGCGAATTTGCCAAAAATATTCTACAAAAGTTTCTGTTTTTGTTAAAGCCATGTTTCAATATTTTCATCGTTTTTTTTCTGTTTTGGTTAATGGATTTTTTAAGAAAGTGAGTGGCTTATAAAATGAAGGCGTGTACGCACTATGGAATAGAGAGATCGGTTTCAGTCAATATAAGGTTTTTCATTGCTTATTTATCTCCTGGTTGAATTATTGGCATTCCGAAAAACTTTATTCATCCATTGCACTGCCAAAAAGTTTCTAAAACTAAAGAATTATCGAAGAAAGACCATTTTTGGACCCTTTTTGGACCCTTTTTGCACCCTTTTTTCACCCTTTTTTGAAGCTTTTCAGCCCAGCGAGAAAGAAAGGCTCAATATAGGCCGCAAAACGAATGTATTTGAAAACGCCAAATTAAAAAATGGGAAAGCGTGACCGAGATCCGCAAAGGCATTGTTTCTTCACGGCCACAAGGCCACCGAGCGGAATGTCGTTCCATGAAATTTCAACTCGTGGCACATCGACTATAATATACTTCACAAAGACTTCACGGATGTAGACATTCCCAAGATTCAAAAAATAAATACGCTGAGTAAACAGCTGCCATGAACATGTGATCATGGAGTAGACGGCAAAAACACTTTGGGTTTCCTTGCCCCATTGATAACGGACCGACGGAGGGGGTGGGGGGAGACCGAAACGCGTTTTTGAATCACCCCGCCGTCTCACGTGGTCCATTTTCCTAGCCGGCCTTTGAATTTTCTTGTTTTCTTTTCCGTTTTCGGGTCAAAAATATTGTGACGTGAAGGTTATTCCTTCATTGAAGACGACTTTTTGAACTCAGTTTTTCATGAAAAAAATTTTTTTCGATCTTTTCAAGGTCTGCCATTCTCAGCACTGTCATGTAATTCAGGTTTCAACTTTGAAAATCCCGAAAAAAATTACAAAAACGAGAAATTTCGCAAAAACTTGATCGCCATCACTGATAAGGGTTTTCCTGTTCTTTCCTCTGAACGTTTTCTCAGATTCCTTTGATTTTCAAATTGATAAGCTTATTTCGAATGATGGAACATGGAAAAATTCGAAAAATCAGAATTTTTCAAGAAAGATCAAACTACTTGAAGTCTGATCGAAGTATTTTTTTACATTTTTTTGAATATTTTTTTATTCGATCAAAACCTGTTCAATTAAAGGAGCATGGACAAGTTAATAATAAAGGTCTTGTAGCGAAGAGCCTTTTTTTCAGTGTTATTTGAAGACTTTGTGCCCTTTGAAGCTCAAAAAAAATTATTTTTTTGAACTGGTTTTTTTGAATTTGATTCAATTTTAGAGCAGTTCCTTAAAATAATGGCATAAAAAAATCGTTTAATCATATCTTCTTCTTGAAAGTTTATACCATTTTTTTCAAAAAAAGCACATCAAAATGTATGGGAAAGCGACAAAAAATATATCTACGAAAAAATTTCGAACGAAAACTCTCAGAAACATTTTTTCTGAAGGTCTTAATAGTCGTTTTTGAGCGTTTGATCGTTAAAGCTTTTTTTTTTAAATCCCATTTTTCAATCCAAAAAGGTCCAATTTGATCATACTCCATTCTTCTAAAACGATCAGACTTGTCTGCGCTCTCTCAATCAGTCATCTACAAGTTCTTGCGAATGGAATACTTCAAAAAAGTACTATAATCTATTTTTGCTCTTAAAAATCGAAAATTTATGAATTTTCGAAAAATCAGATACACATGGAAGTGGAAAAAAATCCTGAATATTATTCAAAAAAATCAGGGATTTATGATTTTTTTATCGTTCATTTGATGTTCTTCATCGTGTTCTCCTCTTCAAAATTCATCAAAAATTATATGAATTTCTCAAAAAAACAGATCAAAATGAAAGTAAAAAAACGACGAAAAAAATCGATTTTTCGAAAATTTCAAGAAGAAAATGAAAAAAATAATTTTTCAAAATTACCCTTTTTTTAATCATTTTATCGTTCATTCCATGTTCTTCATCGTGTTAACTCCCTGAAAATCAATCAAATAATATCAATTTTTCAAAAAATCAGATCAAAATGGAAGTGAAAGCGACGAAAAAATCGTAAATTTCGAACAGAGATACTCGAAATTCTCTCAAAATCATTAGTTTTCAATCTTTTTTCGTTTATTTCTTGCCCTTCATTGTTTTTCTCCTCTTCAAAATCAATCAAATAATATCAATTTTTTTCAAAAAAAATCAGATCAAAATGGAAGTGAAAGCGACGAAAAAAATCGAAGAAAATGAAAAAAATAATTTTTCAAGATTATCTTTTTTTAATCAATGTATCGTTCATTTCATGATCTTCATCGTGTTCTCCTCTTCAAAATCAATCAAATTGATATAAATCAGATCAAAATGGAAGTGGACAGCGACGACAACTGGCCCGAATCGTTCTACGAGAGCATTTCGAAGAGCATCCGGGACCTCCAAGATCCGCCGGCTCCGCCCAAAATGTACATGGCGACGAGCCTCGTGGAAGTCCTCAGCGACCTCTCGATTTATCCCAAGCTGCCCGCCATCAAATATCCTCCCATGCCGATGCCAGAAATGGCCTCGAACTTTGTCGAGCTCATGTCGAATCTGCTGTCCCGAGCGGCGGCCGTCTCGAATCCCGAGTCGATCTACCTGACCTTCTCCGGGATTTCCTACCCGACTCCGCCCAGACTGGCCGTCCCCGAGATGGCTTCGAACTTTGTCGAAACTCTGACGGAGCTCTGCGCTTCCGCCTACGGAACCTTCGATTTTCATGACGCCAACCCTGAAAATGAACCCTTTCCGGAGGTTTCCCCTTCCGACGAAGCGGATTATTGCGACTGCACTGTCTTTGACCAGCTCGTCGCCACGTTTTTCGGGTTCGTTATCTTTTTTTTTTTCCTTGTTAGACATTTTTCTTGTCTCGAAAATCGTTTTGAAGGTCATTTTTTTATGACTTTTCATTTATTTTGAGATTATATCTCGGTTTTATTTTCATCTGCCGTGAATTTTTATCGAAAGTTTCAATCGAAAACGTTCCTTCATGGTTTTCTTTTTTCTAGATTTTTGGTTGGTTCTGTTTCATTTTGAGAAAACCTATGGAGTCACGATATCTTTTCTCAGGGATCTCTGCAGTATTTAATAAAAAAAATTATTAACTAAATTTTCCTGACCATCAATAATATTCACTGCTTCTATTGGAAAAAAAATATCATATTTCAAAAATAAAGTCAAACATTTCAAAAATTGTTATTTTCCGGGTTACTGTACGCTTTTTTTGTGTGACCACGCGTGTTGTTTGACCTACGCCAAGAGTTTTTTAATCCTTTTTTTCTTTTCTTTTTTTCGTGATCAATTTTTCATTTTCTTTTCGTTTTTTGTAATTTTAATCAGTTTTGAATTTTTTTTTCTTGGAGTTTTTAAAGAAGTAAGAGCCTTTAAAAACTAATGGAAACGTTTTTTTTTTGACGTTTTTTTTGATGAAAAGACAGGATTTTTGATCAGAACGATTACAATTGCATCATTAAGACATTTCTGATTTTCTATTCCCGATTTCGCTGTTCAAATCGCGTTAGCTTTGAGTTTTTCAGCCATTCACAGAAAAAAGAATGACTGATTTGCGAGTGTCAGAAAGCCACGGCGTGCGGAACGTATTCGTAAAGTTATTACTGCATTTTCCTAGCTAATTACAAATTCGAGCTTCTGTCAGGAAAATAACTTGTTTTGGTAGGCCGGCGAGTGCATGGCCGCCGGATGGCACCGGTCGCGCCTTTTTTGGTAACAATCTCGTATTCAGAATCTTTGTTTTTGAGCCGTGTGAGATCGTAAAGGATGCTTATTTTGCAAATGGGCTGAGGAGGAGGAGATTGGCGGATGTGGGGAGGAAAAAAAAACATTTGAGGAAGGCGCGCTCCAGCGTACTCCACTTTTTGTCCCCTTTTATGACGCCCGCTCTCTTTTGAAAGGATATAATCCGTTTCACTCTTTTCAGAAACCAGTTGCCGGTTCATTTTTGATATATGGACTTCAGTTTTCTTCGAAAAACTGCTTTTGAAGTGGAAAATTCTGCTTTGAGGGTATTAGTTTATCAAATTTGTGTGTGCCGAACGAGCCACAATTATTTTTTCCGGCCAAATTCGTACATTCGCGTGATAATTTGCTGTCTAGTTTTCGTATACTTCATTTTTTTGATTTCTGAGTAGTAAATTTATTTTTCTAATGGCCTTATGGCTGTTGGAGAGAATTTTTTGCTATTTCTTGATATTTTTTTGTAACTTTCTGCCCTTTTTTTAAATGTTTTTTTCCGATTTTTTTAAGGCCAGAAAAGGTCGTAAAATTGCAATTTCGCTTTTTATATCCAAAAATGCTTTAGCTTTCTGAAAATCTTCTCAAATCGTTAAAAAAATCGTTAATCTCATCAAATATTTTTCCTTCTGTATGCTTTTAGATGATTAAAAAAATATCACTAAAACGGCTCTTCGTCTCGAGACCTTTTTTTAATTCTCTCTATGCTCCTTTAAAAAGCAACAGAAAATGTTTAAAAAAATTTTCATTGGAATTCACTTTTTTTAATAACCATTTTCGAAAGAAAACCAACATTTTCTATATTATTTTTTTCATTTTATCGAGGCGTGATGTTTTTGATTTTTCGATTTTTGCCGCCGACGATCGTAAACAACGAACGCTTTTTCGGGCCGCCGCCAGTTGAAAAAAACGAGTGTAAGATTACGAGGCGAACCCGCTGTGGCCCAAACGAATTGGATACGGCTAATTCCCCCTTCATCTCAGTTGTTTTTTTCCCCACTACAAATCTTGTTAGGTGTCGATTTGGGATATCTATATTATTTTATTTTGGACAACTTTTTTTCTCGCGAAATGAAGTAAGGCGATGCGTCATAGTGGTAATATAGCATTGCGGGGACCTGTTCCTTCCTTTTTTTCTTTATTTAGCCAACGCCTCAGAAATCTCGTTTATGATCTCATTTTATGTAGTTTTTTGGCTTTTCATTTACAACTTTCCTCCAGGGGTGGCTTAAATAAACAAGGAAAAAACGGTTTTTCGTTATTTTCTTGTGAAATTTGGTCAAAACTTTTTCTTTTGCTGACTCATTCTTACTAAAAATTGATACCGCTTTCATTTTCTGTCAAAAAAAGGAGGTATTTATTCGTAAATCCTTTACCTGACTCCACTTTTTGAAGATTTAAAAAGCTTATTTTTTTCCTCCTTCTAAAAAGGCTTTAATTGAATTTTTTTCTTCAAATTTTACGAAAAATTATCAACTTTTTTTATAGTTTAATTTTTGAAAAAAAGGCCTTTCTGTTGAATATTTCAGAACTTTCTATTGAAAATATGCGCAGGTTCCGAAACTTTATTTGAAAAAAATCCCTAAAAACTTTTTTCATACGAAGGTTTTTGATCTAAAAACTGAAGATTTAGGCAAATAATTCTCATAATTTTTTTTGCTCGATATTTTTTGTTGATATATTTTTCATGAGTTAGCCTAAAGCCGTGCAGAATGAGATTTTCGGAAATTTATACCGTCTAAAATTTTTTTTTAGCGACTTTGAGGACTCTGTGAAAAATTGAGAAAAAATCCAAAAAATTCCCCTTAACCACAAGGGCAACGGTTTCCTTTTTACAGCCTTTTTGCGCCCTTTCATCGGCCTTTATCGACCCTTTTTGGACCCTTTTTGCACCATTTTTGCACCCTTTTTGGACTCTTTTGAGAAAAATTGAGAAAAATCTTTAGCAGTGACTGTGTATGCACCAAAATGCGCTACAGTAATCAAATCGAAAATAATCAATGGCCTTTTCAGCACCCTTTTTGCACCCTTTTTGACCCTTTTTGCACCCTTTTTGGACCATTTTTGGACCCTTTTTCGACCCATTTCGAACCCTTTTTGAACCTGTTTTGGATTCATTTTGCACCCTTTTTGCGCCCTTTTTTAGGCTTTCTAGATCAACAAATAAAGGCTCAATAAAGGCCGCAAAACGGAACCCTTTTAGCGGCCATTTTCTAGTCATTTCCGACTTTGGCAGTGATTAGAAAGCCCAAAAGTTTTTTTTTCAAAAGCAAAGTGGCGCTGGGCGTCAAGTTTCACACGAGCCGCGGAAGAAATGATTGTGTTGGGGCTCTTGCGGGGGGTTGGCTGGTCCGAAAGCGACCTGTTTGCCGTCGGGCGCGCTTTCCGGACCGACGGAAACATCCCCTAAACGGTCATCGATCCCGGTCGGCGGCGGGAGGCGGCTGACGTAGGAGCTGGACTCGGCACTGTTTGCCGATTCTCCGCTAACACAAACACTCGTTCCCGAGTCCTTCTTGGCCCCTGGAACGGTCTCCCTGTCATTGATTCTTTTCGATTTTAGTCCGTTCATTGGTAACTTCCTGAATCATTAGAAGGCGTGTACTTGATCACTTTTGCCGGAAAAGGCCATCATAGAGCCTTCCTCGGTCCTCGGAACCGTGTTTTTGGTTTCGGTCTGCTCAGTGGTAGCTTCTCGGATAGTTTGAAGGCCTAGTGCCAATGAAAATTTTCGAAAAAGGGTCTTCCAAAGGCATCCATAGAGCTTCCAAACACGGTGACGGTCAGCCCTTTTTGGCCCCTGGAACCGTCTCCCTTTCATTGATTCTTTTCGATTTTAGTATCTTCATTGGTAGCTTACTGAATCACTAGAAGGCGTGATATTGATCAGTTTTGCCGAAAAAGACCATCATAGAGCTGTCAAAGTAAAAACCACTAAAGTTGGTGCTTCCCGAGTCCTTCTTGGCCCCTGGAACCGTCTCCCTGTCATTGATTCTTATTGATTTCAGTCTCTTCATTGGCAGCTTCATGAATCATTAGAAAGCGTGCTATTGATCAGTTTCACATAGTTTAAGGGTATAATAAATATCAAATTTTTGCCAAAAAAATGGCTCCATAGAGCTTCATAAAGCGATTCCAACACACAATCAATCACTTGAAACCGTCTCTCTTTCATTGAATTTTGTTTTTTTTTTTGGTTTCAGTTCGATTTTTGTTAACTCTCTTGATTTGGATGGATTCATATCTACGGAATTCTTTTGAGATAAAATTTGAAAGACCTCGCTTTTACTGGTTTTTAGCTTATTCATTTCAGCTCCAACAAGAAGATAATTATATAATTAGGTTGGAATCCTCTGAAATTCGGCCAAGGCGCTCTTTGAAGTAGCAAAAGAGGATCTTTCAGACCTCGCCTTGAAAAAATCCTGGTTTTCCAGAAAGAAAATGATCAAAATGGGTTATTCTGAGACTTTGAACATTTTTCTCGGAAACTAGAACTTTTCGCACAAAGTAAACTTGTAGAGCTAGTCATGAGGTTTACTCTTCTTGTTTCTCAAAAAATCAATTCGATTCTATCTAAACGGTCAATTTCGGTCGCTTGTTTGCGCATCGAATTACATTGGCCATTCAGGTCGTCCACGTGATCAACAATTCTTTTTTTTACTTCCCCTTTTTTTGTTTTCAAATTATTTTTTTCTGAAGAAAGTAGCGAAGAAATTGGGTGGTTCTGGAGATTTTTTTCTTCTTTCTTTGATCGGGAAACGTTATTTTACACCCCCCCCGGGGTTTTTACCACCCCCACAGGTTTTTTACCATCCCTCTTCGCGGTTTTTCACCTCCCCCTCCAGGTTTTTTTATCCCCCTCCCCTCACGCTTTTTTCACACCCCCGGGGCTTTTACCCCCCGGGTTTTAACTCCCCCAGTTTTTTTACCCCCAAGGTTTTTTTAAACTCCCCACCCCGGGTTTTTTGTTTTTTTAAGCCCCCACGATCTGAAATGCAATCAGGAGATCCTAATTTTGTAGAGTCACCCCCGGCAATAAACCATTTTTTTCTTGCTCTAAAATGCAATCAGCAGATCCTAAAAGTACACTCCAGCAAATCTTAATCAAAAGTTCAACCGCGGGGGTAAAAACGTTTCCTTCCCTAGTGAGAATTTGTGTAGTTCTAAATATTTCCCCTCCCTTTTTTGTTTTCAACGCCTTTCTCCCTCAGGAAAAATAGCTAAGAAGTCGTGTAGTTCTTAAAATTTTGTTTTCCATGGGCCCTGATGTCTTTAAAGTGCAGCCGCTTTGTCAGCGGACAAACAAAGTAAATTTATTTCGAAATGCGAAGATTTTGGGGGCGAATTTTGCTCATTTTTGTGAAATTTGTGTATTGAAAAACGGTTTGAAACTTTTTTTTATACTATTAAAATTCGTTTCAAATCGAACTTTTCAATTTTGAAACCTTCCAAAAAGGTTTTGAAGTCCAAAAGTGGCAAATTAAAGAATCAGTGTTCAGTTTTAGTTGCGAACTTTTTTTGAGTTGTTTGAAAAAACCTGTTCCTTCAAATCATCCACTTTTGTCTCATTCCATTGTTTTTTCACCCGATTTTCACGTTTTTATATCGATTTTTTTGTAGCAGAAAAAATGTTGGATACGTTTTTCTAAAAAAATATAAGTGATTGTGTTTTTTTGAGTGGGTTTAGCTTCTGAAAGGACTCGACAAGGTAAAAAAATGAGCCTTTTTTTCGATTTCTTGATCCTTTTTGATCGCATAATTTGACAATTTTTTTTTTTTTTATTTTTTTATTTTTCAGTCTCTCTTGGACTACCCGCGCTTCGAAAAAGCTTAGAAAATCGCTTTTTTATTCTAATTTTGGTCGCATTTGGAATGGCTCAAAGCTTTAAAGTCGACGAAAAATGCTTTTCGATGTCTTAGCGCGTAAACCGTTTTAGGTCAGTTGCACCACGTGTATCCATAACTTTGATCATTAGAACTCTGGTTATTTTTTCATTCCGTCCTTTCTTTTTGAACAATGTGTATAGTTTTCCATGAGCCATTCCAAGTGCGGTCATAAGTCGTTTTCAGGACCTTTTTTGCTTTTTTTTCAATTTAAATCTGATGATTTTTGCAGAATGGGCTCGTGCATGTGCAAAGAGGCCCGAGCACGGCGGAAAGAGCGGCGGCCGAGCCAAATTTTGTAAGTTTCAACAGAAAAAAGTACGCAACGCGGTCGCGACGCGGCTTTTGGCGCCAAATCAGAACTTTGGATTTTTCTCGCTTTTTTGACTACCAAATCGATCAACTCAAAATAAAGAATCTTTAAAACAATTGCTTAGAACTTTTTTTCGATAATTTTCGAATTGGCGCCAAAAAACGCGACGCGACCGCTTTGCAATACTGTAACTCGGGTTTCAAACCGATAAAGCTTTAAAAATTCTTTTTTTTGTCAAGATGAGACTGTTCTCCGTCGGTTTTGGTAGTTAAAAAAAAATCAATTTCATACTTTGAAAAATCCACGCAACGCGGTCGCGACGCGGCTTTTGGCGCAAAATCAAAATTTCGGCATATTTTCTCATTTTTGACTACCAAATCAATCAACTCAGGTCGAAAAATCTTCAAAAAATTGTTTAAAAGTTTTTTTTCGATAATTTTCGAATTGGCGCCAAAAAACGCGGCGCGACCGCTTCGCATCACTGTAGCTGGAGTTTCAAACCGATGAACCTTCAAATTTTCGTTTTTTTTTCAAGATAGGACGGGCTTTCCGTCGGTTTTGTTAGTTGAAAAATAATCATATCAATTTTAAGTTTAGAAAGAAAAACCCACGCAACGCGGTCGCGGTGTGGCTTTTGGCGCCAATTTTAATTCAATGATTTTTGAATTGGCGCCAAACGCGACGCGACCGCTTCGCAGTGTTGTAAAATACAAAGAATTGAATATTTTCCAGGAGACGACGACAGGAAGCACATCGACGTCTCATGTTAGCCGAAGATTCTCGATCCGGACCAGACCCATTTCACACTGAAATTTGGCCCAGAGTCCGGACAAATAGTCGGTTTTTGAGGACTTTTTTCAAGTTTTCACTATCTTTAAGGGTTCACTTTAGGGATTTTCAAATTCTGTAGGGTCCGCTTCAGTGGATGAATGTTGAAAAATAGCTTTTATTTGTATTTCATTATTTAAAATCCTAGGGTTCACTTTAGGGATTTTCAATCTTTTAGGTCTTCTTAAGTGATGTAAAGTTGAAAACTAGCGTTATTTTTTTATATTTTAATATCTTCAAGGGTTCACTTTAGTGATTTTTGAAATATCTTTAAGGGTCCACTTTAGTGATTTTTCGACTTGTGTAGGGTCCGCTTCAGTGAATAAATGTTGAAAAAAATAGCTTTCATTCGTTTTTTTAATCATTTAAATCCTTAAGGGTCCGCTATAGTGTTTTTTTCAACTTTTGATTCAATGAATTGATGAAGAAGCTTTGGTTTTAGCTATTTATATTTTTATTTTTTGTTAAGGGTTCACTTAAGTGATTCTGAACTTATATAGGGTCCGCTTTATCAAAGTGAAGTTGAAAGTTAGTTTTTATCATATTTTTTTTTATTTGAAGAGGATTTTCCCGTTCAGGAGGAAGAGACGAGCATTTTCCGGTGGATATCGAAGCGTTGATTTTTGAAACTCTACGGGTCATCAGAACGCTTGTAAATAAGTTAGTTTTTCTATGATTTTCAGATGATTTTTTTGATTTTTTTCAGTGAACAAGAGCCCCCGAGGGCCTTATTACAGTTGAACATGATTGCGGATAATGAGAATGGGTGGATGACCGTCGTGAAATGTCTCATCGAATCGGTAAGAAAAAGATTTAAGCTTAACTACAAGGAGGCTTTTTTTAATTTTTTTCCTTTGAAACTCCCTGAAATTTGGTCAGAATACTCTTTGAGGCTCTAACTTAGGCTTCTGAAAGTTTCAGCTTTTTAAAAAAATTCTTAGTTTTTTTGAAAAATGGGGACCTCAAATTAGGTTTGCCAGAGGGGTCCCTAGAGGGGCTAGGGAAAAAAAGCAGCCACTATAGGGGTGAGACTTGGGTGGTCCCATTGTAGTTTAGGATCTGCTCCCTAGGTATTTCAAGCTTAAGTGGTCCCTATAGTGACGTCATTATTTTTTTTTCCTGATTTGAAGGTTGAAAAGACGTCTGAGGACCACGCGCACCTAGAGTGGCCACTGACTAAGACCCCTAGAGTGGCCACTTTTCAAGCTTTAGTGCACGCTATAGGGGGAAAGCAAAGGGGTCTTTTTTTTCCCCTCTAAGGGCTACTTTGGGGCACCTAAGAAAGTTTTCTGAAATTTCTAAAGCTTGAAAGTCCAAAAAAGGTGGATGAGATCAAAATAATTGAAAATGGATCACTTTGAACCTTTTCTGAGGATTTTCAAGCGGAAAATAATTTTTTTTTTTCGGCGGGAGTTATCTGGAAAATCGGAGAAGACTCTGGCCACTTTTCAAAAAAAAAATTTTCGCGCCCAAATTTTTCTTAATTGTTTTCTGTGCTCCTTTTGACGTCTCCTGTATATTCTTCTGGAGGGATTTTATGATGTTTCAAGATTCCACACGACGATTCGCTGGGCCCAGCTGTTATTTCGCTATTCTTGGACGAATGCCCGTTGCCGAGCAAGGTTTTTTTCCTTTTTTTTTCTGATTATGTCATGATTTTTCTCTTTGAGTAGTGATAATGATGAGTAAACTTTAGGGAAGAGTAGAAACCCGAAAATTTTTTTGGGGGTTCTCAGAAGAAAAAGGGATGAAATGTCCCGTTTAGAGCCCATTTTTAGAGTTTTTTTAAGAACCAAAAATGAAGGGGTATTTGGTCATTTTTTTCAATTTTAATAATGTATATTTCACTTGGAAAAATTTTTTTGTATGAAAAAAAGGGATACAATGTCCCTTTTATAGCCCATTTTTAGAGTTTTGAAGGGCCAAATTAAAGGAAATTGATCATTTTTCAATTTTAATAATGTATATTTCACTTGGAAAACTTTTTTTAAAGTAAAAAAATAATGGATAAAATGTCCCTTTTATAGCCCATTTTTCGAGTTTTTTTATGGACAAAAAAATGAAAGAATTTGGTCATTTTTTTCAATTTTAATAATGTTTATTTCACTTGGAAAAAAACATTTATATGAAAAAAAAGGGATAAAATGTCCCGTTTATAGCCGGTTTTTAGAGTTTTGAAGGACAAAAAAATGTAGAAATTTGGTCATTTTTTTCAGTTTTAATAATGTATATTTCACTTGGAAAAAAATTTCGTTATGAAAAAAATCGATAAAATGTCACTTTTTTTAGCCCATTTTTTGAAGTTTTTTTAAGGACAAAATAATTTTTAAAAAACCAATAATATAAATTTTTCTCCAGGAAACGGTCCACACGGTGATGGAGAAGCTGCAGCTCAACAAGCAGACGGTCGTGAAGCGGGCCCAACACCCGCGGTGGTACCGCAACGCCTGCATCGTCCTCGGCAGTCTGGCCGAGAAGATGGCCGGCACCGCCGCCGTCGCCATGTTCAACAAGGACATCCAGGCCTTCCTCCTCGCCAATATTTGTCATAACATGGTGAGATTTCAGTGGCCACTAGAGGGTTTTGACGTTGTCGTGGCCACTATAGTGGTCAAATTAGTCGCCACTTAAGGGGTTAAAAATTAGTGGCCACTATAGAGGTCTAAGTGCGATTACTAGACCACTAAAAGTTTTAGTGGCCACTATAGTGGTCAAACAAGTGGCCACTATAGAGGTCTAAGTGCTACTACTAGACCGCTTAGTGGCCACTTTAGGGGTCAATGGATCGACATAATTGGTCCAATATGTTTGTTTTGAAATTATCAGAGTTACTGGAAGGAATACTGGATGAAAAACTACTGAAGTGGCCACTAAAACGGAAAACAGTGGCCACTATAGAGGTGGGTTTAGTGGCCACTTTAGTGTCCCCTCCAAGTAGCCCTTGGTGAGCCTCTATAGTGCCAACTTAAATTCTTCCCAGAAATGTTTCGTCTAGAATGGTCAAGATTGAACTTTTTAACGCCAGAGAGGCCCCTTGAGGGGTTAGGGGAAAAACAGCCCCTTTAGGAGACTAAACAGAGCTCCATTTTAGGGCGAAATTTAGGTGGCCCCTAGAGGGGTTTAGAGTCTAGCCCTTGATTCACTGAAACTTAAGTGGTCCCTTTAGGGGACCTTCAATTTTTCGTTAAGATGTGAAAATTCAATGAACGTGTTTAATGAAACTTGAGCGAGCAGGGAATTAAAGTGGTCCCTAGAGGGGTACCTTCAAGGGCCCCTAAGATTCCCCTATAGGGACCACTCTGGCGGTTTTAAAGACGCAAAAAAGATTATTAAAAAAGACAAAGTGGTTTGATTTTTTTTTAGTATATCTAGTAGCAGGATTAACTGGGAAAATTTTTTAGTGGCCAATATAGTGGTCAAATTATAGAAAATCAGGTTTTTCAAGAGAACCTATTTTTCGAAAATTTCGAGATGATACCATCATATTTTCCTAGGTTTTTGCTTTAAAAACCCCTTTTCCTGGAGAGTATTGTACAGGAAGACGTTGAAAATAACCAATTTATGTGATTTTTTTGAAGTTTTTGGTTATAAAAAAACGTCCATTTTGTTCGAAAGGAAGAGCTCGATCAAATTTATTGATTTTTATCAGAGTTTTTTTCTAAAAAATCCCTGTGGAATTATCAAATCATTCTAAAGATTGAATTGAAAAAAAATATTTGATTAACATGAAGAAATCCCGGGGAAAAACTACCACGTCATATTATTCGCCTTGCTGGCTTTCGAGAAATTTGCTCAAACCAGCGAAAATCAACACCAAATCTCCTGGCTCTTCAACAACTGCGTTCATCATCCTCTCAAGGTTTATTTTTGATTTTTTTAAGTTTCTTTAAAAAAAGTATTCAAAGAAAAAGACGATTTTTAGTGATGAAAAAAATTCGGAAAAAGCTCATTTTTTTCCCTTTTTTTCTCGGATTTTTTTGGTCATTTTTGGGGGTTTCCGCCTTTTTTTCAAAAAAACTTATATAACTATTTCATTAAGAAGAGGCTTTCAAAAAAATATTTTTTTACCACCTTTTTTTGCTTCCTTGTTGTTTTTTTATTGAGAAAAAAAGTGAAAAAAACGAATATTTTTCTGAGTTTTTTTACTCACTGAAATGTTCCTGAAAAGTTTTTAAAATGCTGTTTTTTTGACTTTTTTTAATCATTTCTCGCGCCTTTTTTTCAACACCTTGATAAGGAATTTTTTTAACAGAAATCCGTGAAAATGAAGATTTTTTTACGAACTTTTTCGCTGAAAAAAATCAGCAATTTTTTTCATGATTTTTAACTTTTGTGACTCAAATTTTTTTGACAAAAAAAGCCCTAAAAAAATATTCTCCCTTGGAAAAATGTCCTTAAATTTAAAGAAAGGTTCTTTAGGCGCAGACTTGTTCTGCGCCATTTGGGTTTAGGATGAGTTGGAAAATGAGCGTTAGGGTGAAATTTTTCTCTAAATCATATATGTTGTAGAACACGATTTTTTTAGGATTTTTTTGAAAAAAACTGAATATCATCACTCGAGCCGTTTTTTTGAGATACGGTAGCCCAAACGATTACGGTGAAAAAGCTTCGAAAATCTATATCTCGACGAAAATTCGACGAAACTCAACCAAAGTTTGTGATAAGGTGCAAAATAATTTTTAATCAGTTTTTAAAAATCGAACATCTCATGTTTGCTCATTATTGCTCATATTAGAGAATTTTTTTCTCAAAAAAATCAAAACCAGTATATGACGTTGCGTTTTTTTCACTTATTTTTTTGATTTTTTTGGTGACTTTTTCCGCCTTTTTTTCAAAAAAACTTATTCATCTTATTTTTTTAAAAAAAGAAGCTTTCAAAGATATTTTTTTGACCACCCTTTTTTCGCTTCCTTGTTTTTTTATGGAGAAAGAAGTGAAAAATGAAGATTTTTGACTTTTTTTACTCACTGAAATGTTCCTGAAAAAGTTTTTAGAATGCTGTTTTTTTGACCTTTTATGGGTTTTTTTGGTTATTTCCGAATCTTTTTTTGAACACCTTATCAAGAAATTTTTAAACAGAAATATGTAAAAAAATGAAGATTTTACGATCTTTTCGCTGAAAATCAGCAATTTTTTTCAGGTTTTTTTATTTTTTTATAACTCAAATTTTTTTGACAAAAAAAGCACTAAAAAAATATTTTTTTGCTTGTTAAAATGTCCTTAAATTTAGAGAAAGGTGATTTTTTTCATTTATTTTTTTGGCTTTTGGTGACTTCTCCCCCTTTTTTTCAAAAAGCTTATTAATCTGTTTTTTTAAAAAAAATAAGCTTTCAAAGATATTTTTTTAACCACCTTTTTTTCGCTTCCTTTGTTATTTTTTTATTGTGAAAGAAGTGAAAAAAATGAAGATTTTTTGGGCTTTTTGGTCATTTTCGGACCTTTTCTCAACACCTTATCAAGAAGTTTTTTTAACAGAAAGCCGTAAAAATGAAGATTTTTACGAACTTTTCGCTGAAAATCGGCAGTTTTTCAGAATTTTTGATTTTTGTGACTTCAATTTTTGGCAAAAAAGCATTAGAAAATTTTTTACGAGCTTTTTTTTTGCATTTTTCGTCGGATTTTTTTCGAAATGCATATTTTAAGGAGCTGGAAAAATGGCTGACCGACCCGCAATACAAAAAAATAATTGGATGGCTCAACAGGTCGGATTTTTGCGCCCAATGGTCGTTGGACAATATTTGTGAGCTTTTTTTTTTATTTTTCAGAGTTTTCCTGGCTCATTTCCAAGGCTTTTTAAATTTTTTTCGTTCGATTTTTTTGATTTTTAACCTTTTGAAGCCCTTGAAATGAACTAGGAGTTATTTTTAAAGATTTTTTTATTTTTTTAGTCACCATTGACGCCCGAAAAATTCGCCTATGAATCGACGGACGTCTCGCATATCAACGCAATGTTGAACCATGAAGACGTCAGCGAATATTTGAAAATAGGCCCGAATGGTCTTGAGGTCGATTTCAGGGAAAAATGGGTCTCGAAACGAAAAAAATCGAAAAAAAAAACGAAGAAATTTGAGTCATTTGCAGTTTTAATGGCCCAATGTCCGCATTTGACACCTGAGTGACATTTTCAAGTCTCTTATCTTTTATCACTGTTTCAAAGTTGCTTCAAATGATAACTTTTGGTCCACTGAAAGTATATTCACTTCAATTTTTTTAGTGAAAAGCGACCCCTTTGGTGAAAAAAATGATTAATTAACAAACGGGGGAAAAAAATTCAAAAAAATTAGTGGAATTTTTGATTCGCGTCAATGCAAATGCCTCTATTTAGCGTTTCGAATCGTAAAAAAATATTTTTAAAAAAATCAGAAATCAGTTGGTCAAGATCTTAAAAAAATGGATTTTTTTGATAAGGAATTTGGAAAAATATTTGATCAAAATTAAATGATTTTTATAAAGAAGAAACCGAGAAAAAAATCCAAAAAAAGCGTGAAATTCCAATGCAAATGACTCTTCAAGCCGTGAAAAAGAATTTTTAACAGTAGAATAAATAAAAAAATTAACGTCAGAAATTAATTGATTGAAGTTTAACGTGGATTGTTTGATAAGGAATTTGGAAAATATGAAGTTTAATCGCGTAGCGTTTTTTTCGTGAAAAATTTGGAATTTATCATCTTATTTTTGCACTTTTTTTGATAGCTGTTTGATGTAAATGGAATGATTTCAGCTAGAGGAAAAGTGAGAAAACCCAAAAGTTAGATTTCAATTCGCGTCAATGCAAATGCCTCTATTTGGCGTTTCAAGGGATGAAAAAAGAAGATTCTAAAAACGGAAATCGGCATTTCTTTTTGAAATACGATCCATAACCGTTTATATATCCAATGAGAATGGTAAAGTTTCTGTTGGAAAAAAATACTTGATCTAAATTAAATGATTTTTATGAAAAAGAAACGGGAGAAAAAAATTCAAAAAAATTAGTGGAATTTTGATTCGAGTCAATGCAAATGCCTCGATTTGGCGTTTCAAATCGTTAAAAAAATATTTTTAAAAAAACGGGTATATTGATCAGAAATCAGTTGGTCAAGATCTTAAAAATGGATTTTTTTGATTCGCGAAAGTTTTTTTCGTGAAAATTCGGAATTTATCATCATATTTCGCACTTTTTTTGATAGCTGTTTGATGTAATTTTAATGATTTCGAATTGAGGAAACGGGGGAAAAAAATTCAAGAATAGGGGGCTCGAACTCGAGTCAATGCAATTGACGTTTTTGGGCTATACAAATATAATAAATTAAAAATGAACGCTAGAAACACACCTCGGCTGGTTCCCACCCCCGGAGTGCGGCCTATCCCCCTCAAACTGCGGTCCACTTCAGTGCATTTTAGCGCGAAAGGTGGGGTTCAGCCGATATATGGCCTGAAATCACTTGATAAAAATCCTAAACATGGATTATTTGATTAGGAATCTAACCTAAGAAACATAGAGTTCCATTCCTCGATTTCCAGGCCAGATGCGACGTTTCTTCCTTCGAATCGGTCCGTTGCACATTCGAGGTCCAGGACGGCGTTTGGTATTACGAGGCGACCGTTTTGACGCCCGGGGTCATGCAAATCGGTCTCGCCACGAAAAGAAGCCGATTTTTGAACCATGTAAATCGTGTCTTTTCATCTTTTATGTTTCGCGATTTTCAGGAAGGCTACGGCATTGGGGACGATGAATCTTCAGTGGCCTATGACGGCTGCCGACAGTTGATTTGGCACAACGCTGTAAGCACCCAACACGAGCATCGTACCTGGGTTCCAGGTAAGAGACGAAAAAAAGCGCAAAAAGTTAGGCAAAACGAGAAAAAAAAAATGAAGGCAAAAAATAGAATATTCAAGTCCATTAAATAATATTATAGGAAATTGCGCTTCAATGAGAATAAACCTTATTTTTCAAAAAAATTTTTCGTGGAAAATATTCCATTGTTTTTTTATGAAGGGGGCTCTGTGAAGATTTCCAGGGTTTATAATTCTAGCTGCCCTTTATGGGAAACGTTTTTTTTTTTGAAATATTTATTTTAGAGTTCTAGGAAGTAATTGTTAGGGAGATTTTCGTAAAAAGGGGAGATTTTCGGACTTTGGTAACGTAAAACCGAGCGAATCGGACGTTTCGGGGCATTTTCAGTGACCTTTTTAGTAGCTTCTGCACCCTTAAGTGATCTCTAGAATCGCTGAGAAACGTTTGCAGCACATTCGGTTTTCGTTACCGAGATTACGAGATGTTGACTTTCATAAAAACTAAATATTATGTGAAATTGTGCTGCATTGAAAATAAACGTTTTTTTGGATTGTCCCCGCAAAAAGTTAGAAAAAATCCTTTTTAAAACTTGAAATACTCCAGTTTTTACTCAAAATTAGAGCTGTTAACCTTTAGAGCCCTAGTTACGAAACAAAAGTTTCAAAATCTCGAAATTTTGTTCATTTTTTTAAAGCTCTAGTAAGTACTCGGGAGGCGAAAATTTTCACTCCAGGATTTTTGAAATTTTTTTAAACTGGAAAATGAGGTTAAAAAATTATTTCGAGGTAATTTCAACGGGATTTTTCACCTAGAAAATAAGCTTTAAAAAATAATTTTCTTTCCAGGCGATGTCATCGGCGTTCTTCTCAATATCCCCGAAGGCTTCGTTCAGTTTTACCTGAACGGAGTCCCCTTAAATGAGCCCCACACGACTTTCCTCGGTAATTTTTAGAAAAAATCAAACAAAATATTGATTATTTTGAAGATTGTCGTCTTGATGGAGAAGGGGTCTTCGCCGCCGCGTCTTTCATGTCTTTCCAACAGTGTCGTTTCAATTTCGGGGCCCAGCCCTTTGATTTCCCGCCCGCGGGCAACTTCTTGTGAGGAAATTCGATGAAAATCAATGAATGAAATCGATTTTTCCAGCAATTTCAACGAGGATGGCCCTCCCTTGTCCCAGGAGAAGAAAACGATCATTCCAAGGTATGGGGGTCAGAGAAAAATAAAAATAGCGCGTCAAAATGAGAGGGTGCAGAGAAAAACAGCAATTTCAAGTAGTGAAAAATGGACTATAGAGAGCACTAAAGCCGCTCAAAAAAGCACTATAGGGGCCACTAAAACTTTGACCCCTACAGAGACCAATAAGTAGTCCCTAGAGGGGTCCTTAGAACAACAGAACCCTATAGGGACCCCTACGCTCTTACCCAAAGCGACTTGACACTTTTCGAGTGTCTGCGTCTCTCTGTTCCCTCACCGTCAGAGAAAAAAGAAAATAGTACGTCAAAATGAGAGAGCGCAGAGCAAAAGAGCAATTCCAAGTAGTGAAAAATGGACTATAGAGAGCACTAAAGCCGCTCAAAAAAGCACTATAGGGGCCAGGAATTTGACCCCTTGAGGGGTCCTTAGAACAACAAAAACCCTATAGGGACCCCTACACGCTGCTTATATAGTCAATCCACCGAGACTTGACAATTTTTGAGTGTCTGCGTCTCTCTGTTCCCTCGCCGTCAGAGAAAAATCAAAATAGTACGTCAGAATGAGAGGTGCAGAGAAAAAGAGCAATTTAAAGTTTTGAAAAATGAACTATGGAGAGCACTTTAGGGGCCACTAAAACTTACACCCCTAGAAAGACCAGGAATTTGCCCCCTAGAGGGGTCCCTTAAAACAACCGTCAGAGAAAAATGAAAATAGCATGGATACTTGAGAGGGTCAGAGAGAGAGTAGGAGGGTGCAGAGAAGCTCCAAAAAATGAAATGAAGGATTTCTTTTTCTAGGAAACAACGACTGGAGCTTCTGATGCGCGAGACGGTTCCCGACGATTTTTGCACAATTTGCTTCTCGGCCCCAGGAAATATGAAGCTTCTACCTTGCAATCATAGGTAAGGAATGGACTGCAAACCATACTATCAAGTGGTTACTTTAAAGAAAATTTTTTTTTTTACTTGTGGAACCATGTTTGCATTGCATTTGAAAATTATAAAGGACAAGAATTTTTTTCTCCTAGGTAAAATATTTCATGGAGAGTATCTCTTCTTTTTTGAAAAGAAGTAGTGGTCACTTGAGGGTTTAGGCTTAAAAGCCTTTAGAGTGGATAAAATAGTGCTCCCTAGAGGGCTTAAGTGGTCCCTATAGGAGTTAGGGTCTGATTCCTGAAGCTCTAAAACTTAAGTGGTCCCTATAGTGACCTTTTGGTTTTTGTTTTGTTCAAGGGGGTCAAAAAGAGGCATTAGACCACTAGCATGCTCCCCCAAAGTGGCCACTAACTGAAACCTCTAGAGTGACCACTTTTACAAGCTTCAGTCCTTTGAGAGCAGCCTACAAGAGACCTTATTGTTGCCCCTCTAGGGACCACTCCAGCTTTCCTAAGTCAAGAGAGAGATTTTTTTTTCCAGCGTATTTTGGAGTTTAGGGTCTGATTCCTGAAGCCCTAAAACTTGAGTGGCCCCTATAGGGTCTTTGGTTTTTTTTTGTGATTCGGAAGTCAAACTAGTCAACACCCCTAACGTGGCCACCAACTAAAACCCCTAGAGTGGCCACCTTTACAAGCTTCAGTCCTTTGAGATCAGCCTACAAGAGACCTCAATGGTGCCCTTTTAGGGACCACTCTGGCGTTCGTAAGACTAGAGAGTGACCACTTTTACAGGCTTCAGTCCTTTGAGAGCATCCTACGGGAGCCCCTTATGCTGCCTCTCTAGTGACCACTCCAGCCTTCCTAATTCAAGATTTTTTTGTTTCCAGCGGATTCTGCGAAACTTGCACGATAATGCTGGACCTGTGCCCGCTGTGCCGAGGCGACATTGACCGTCGTGTCCTCCAAGAAACCAAGGAAGAGGTGATGAGCATCAGTCGCGTCTCCGACGACGTGTCGCGGAGTTCTGCGACACGGAAGTCGCAGCAGCGAGTCACGCCGCGACGTGCGACCATCGACACGGTCGTCGTCATGGAGGACGGCGGCTCAGTGATGGCCCGTCGGGATACGCAAGTTTGAGCCGAAGATCGCTTCTTTGTGTGTAGTTTGGTCTGACAGTCGTATTTATTTGGATTTTATTTTGAAAGCGCCTAAAGGTGGTTCTAATTTTAGATTATTGTGAGTTAAATTTTGAAGTAACTTTTCAAAAATTGCTCGTCAGAAAATTTCTGTGCTTTTCCTACTTTGTAGCAAGAGAAGCCTGAATTTCCCCTATTTTTCAAAAATAAACTACCGTCAAAAATAGCCGCTTCTCATTAGGGAAAGTGCGCCCCAGCGAAAAATGTCTAAAATTCGATTTATTCCATTGAGCGCCTAGAAGTGGTTCTAATTTTACGTTGTTGAAAAGAAAATTAAGCTCTGATTTTCGAATTTTGATTTTTTCACAATATTTTGCTGTCGAAAAAAGAGCCGCTTCTCATTAGGGAAAGTGCGCTCCATCGAAAAATGTCAAAAATTCGATTTTTCTCACGGAGCGCCTAGAAGTGGTTCTAATTTTACGTTGTTGAAAAGAAAATTAAGCTCTGATTTTCGAATTTTGATTTTTTCAAAATACTTTCGAAAAAAGAGCCGCGGTTCATTAGGGAAAGTGCGCCCCAGCGAAAATCCTGAAATAACCGCTTTTTCGCAATTTTAACCTATATTTTCGTACTTTGAAAAGATCTGGGCCCTTAAGTGGTCACTCTAAGAAAAGTTCTGACCACCTTTATGCGCTTTAACCTTGTCTTGTCTTTCATTTTATCATTTTCATCTTTCAAACCGCTCCTGTTTCGGAAAATTCTCTTACCTGGAGAAGCCAATGGACTGTTACGGTTAATTTCGTCGCGATTGTACATAGATCCTTATCATTTTTGGATACCTTTTGCCTCGATTTTCAACGTAATTAACCAGATATGAACAATTTTCAATTATTCCTACTATTGCTCAATTTCTCCATGTCTGTTCCTACTACAGTTTCTTTGCTTCTGCCCACGGGTGATTTTATTTTATTTCCTTCTATGTCATCTATTTATGAATTATGGTCTATTCACTGTTGGAAAAATAGTTCGGTTTGGGTCTGGGGCTCAAAATTTTGAAGCCTTTATTTGGATATTCTCATTTACGTACAGTTTATTATTGAAAAACTGGCCTAAAAATGAGAAAAATGAAAAAAATAGGCCTAGAAATCGTCGAAGTTTAAAAGGCGCATAGGCTGAGCTTCAAATGAGGTCCTGACGCGAAATCGCCTATTTTTCATTTCCGCGCAGCTCATAATTGAAAAAAATGACCTGAGAATAAATAAACGAGAAAAACTTGAAATTCGTCGAATTTTTAAAGGCGCAGAGACCAAACTTCAAATGAGGTCCTGTCGCAAAATCGCCTATTTTTCATTTCAGCACAGCTTGTTATTGAAAGAATGATCTAAGAAATCAAAAAAAGGATAAACTAAGCTTGAAATCAGTCAAAGTTTAAAGGCGCATAGGCTGTGCTTCAAATGAGGTCCTGACACGAAGTCAATTATTTCCATCTCCGTGCAGCTTGTTATTGAAAAACTGACCTTTGAATGCAAAAAACCAAAATAAGCTTAGAATTTCTCAAACTTTAAAGGCGCATAGACCGAACTTCAAATGAGGTCCTGACACGAAATCGTCTTTTATCCATCCGTGAATAGACTATATGGCTAAAACTGGCTTTATTCTTATTTTTTATTATTGTAAAACGAGTTTTATCGGGTTCCTTTCTTTCTTCAAAATGATTCCCACGTTTTATTATTTTTTGCACTTTGCAGTTGAAATTGAAATTTCACAGGTTTTCATTCATTTTCTTTTGCCAAGTCCTTTTTTTGTGATACATGTATAAAGCATTGTCGATTTTTCTATGTACATCTTTATATAATTGATTAAATGAGGGATTTTTTTGGGTTTTTAAAATTTTTTTCAGAGATATAGGGAGACGAAGAGTAGAAAAAAAGACATTTTTGGATTTTCACAATTTTTTTCAATTTTTTGGGGTACAAGAACAACAGCAATAAGTTGAAAATGATGAAGTGGCCGCTTTAGGGACCCAATTGGGGGTAGTATGCGGTTCTACACGGTGATGTAGCACAAGAAGAGTTGAAAAAAGAGAGCGGGAAAAAAAAAACGCTGAAGTGGTCACTTTAGTGACCGAATGTTTAACAATTGATGATGGAATATGAGATTTTTCTCAGTGGTATAGTACTATAAGAGCTGGAAACATAGCTCAAAGAAAAAAAAACGCTGAAGTGGCCACTTTCGTGACTTTTAACAATTGATGATAAAACATGGGATTTTTCTCACAGATAAGTGGCCCTTTTAGGGGAAATTTCAAGCAGCTATAAGCACAGGGCAGAAAAAAACAGGAAAATCGACAATTCCAAACCATTTCACAATACAAAAAATGATGGAAAACCATCACACAATTCATTCGCCTAAACCATAGCCGCCGCCAGTCTTCAAATACCGAATATCTGGTGGGAGGAGTAAAAAAAACCCCGATTTGGGAATCCTACGTCACTGTTTCACTTCAAAAAAGGTACTAAGAAAGTCCCTAAGTGGTCCTTTTAGGGAATATTTCAATAAATTGATCAAAAAAAGTTTAAAAACTGATTTTAAAACGATTATTAAGGAAAAAAGGTATCTAAAAAGGTATACTCTTCATTCAATCTTATAAAAAAACTCGCTAAAATCTCAAAAAATCAATATTTTCAAATTTAAAAGCAATGGGTCCTTTTTTTTCCTTACTTTTACTAACTTAGTTCAAAAAAACTCCTTAAAAGGCCCCTTCAAAGGTGATATACCCTCAAGTGGTCTCTTAAAATCTTCCTCAACGAAACCGGAGCAATCTGAATAAAATTTTCAACTCCTCAAGAGGTCCCTTAGAAAGAAAATACCTTAAGTGGTCACTTCAAATCAAAACAGCCACTTAAGTGGCCACTTCCTCAGCGCTCAACGAGTCCGCGGCAATTCAAGAGATAATTTTTAAAGCCTCTTAAGTGATTACTTCCAATTTCAGTACTCACTCGACGGACCCGGAACAAGCTGAAGAAAAATCAAGTGAACACTTAAAGGTTTTTAAAACTCAATTTAAGGGATCCCTTCAAAAACAAATCACTCTAGTGAACACTTCAAACTCCAAAAGTTTCAAGCTATTCAGTGACGTCGGAAACCCTATAAGGACGACTTCAATGACAAACCACTCAAGGAGTCACTTGAGCTCTCCCTACTAAGCATCAGGAAAAAAGCCAAGTGGTCACTCAAGGGGCGGCTTAGTATCAGAACAATTGAAGCGAAGTGGACAGGGGATAGGCCTGGAAAAATTGCGAGTCGACTCAAGTGGTCACTCAAGGGCTCATTTTCACAATAAACGGCGGGAAATGACGTCATTCAGAAAGCAACGAGGCTGGAAATGATGTCAGAGGACCAGAAAAAATGGAAACTGTTTCAAGTGGTCACTCAAGAGACGGAGCTCTTTATCATAACAGAATGACGCCATTCAGTGAGAAACAAGTCGAGAAATGATGTCAGAGGGCCAGTAAGTTCCGAATCAATCCAAGGGGTGGACAGGGGATAGGCCTGGAAAAATTGCGAGTCGACTCAAGTGGTCACTCAAGGGCTTATTTTAGCAAACATCGGCGAGAAAAGACGTCATTCAGAAAAAGCAAGGCGATAAACGTTGTCAGCGGATCAGAAAAGTTACAAAATGATCCAAGTGGCCACTCAAGGGTCGGAGCACATTATCATAACAGGATGACGTCATTCAGAAAGAAACGAGGCTGGAAATGAGGGCAGAGGACCAGAAAACATGGAAAATGATCAAAGTGGTCACTTAAGGGCTCATTTTCAAGACAAACGGCGCAAAATGACGTCATTCAGAACGTGAAAAGACTGGAAATGAGGTCAGAGGGCCAGAAAACATGGAAAATGATCAAAGTGGTCACTTAAGGGCTCATTTTCACAACAATCGGCGGGAAATGACGTCATTCAAAGTTCCGGATCGATCAAATTGCTTCGGATAGGTTTAAAAACGGACCTCAAAGGTTGAAAACGGTTTCGCGCTTCAAAATCGTCAGGTTTGAAGTTCGGAAAATCGTTCCTAGACCAATTTTCACCGCAAAAAGTCGCCCCCTATCCGCAATGTAAACCCAAAAACATACAGAAGAACCTTACATGCTACGCAAACGCATAGGATCGAAACCATGAGTTTGATTACTTCTAGTGGGATTTTTTTTAATCTGTCAGGTCGTAGAGGGTATTTAAAAAAATTGGTTTGGTTAGTCAAATCGCAGGTTACGGTAGGAAGTCCGCAAATTGTCGTGAGCGTGTAGCTACTCGCCAATTTTGTCATTTTCAAGGATCCCCCATCAGGAGAAACTTGAGGCAAAATTTTCGGATTTTTGGAAAAGTTCACGTTCACGAGAAATCACGGACTAAGGGAAAAAAAGTACAGGAAGAACTTACAAGAATAGTATGGCTAGGTACATGAAAAACGGAGATTTACAGGAACATCAAGACCTCCCTTCATCCAAGCATGATTTGACAAAGAAGGCTAGTAATTTTCTGTGTGCGATGGGGCAGCTTCTCCGCATGCATTCCCGGGTTCTTTGATCATTATGAAAATAATAAAAGGCGCCGGTGGCGTTCTTCTTTTTTATGGAATCCATCGTGGGGGCTTCGAAGAAGCTTTCGAGGTCTTTGTAGGCCTCGCGGCTGGTCTCGTAGAGGCACTGGGAGACTTTTTCAATGAATATCAGTTGATTGAATGCCAGACGTATGAACATCCAACTAGTGGAGTCTTCGGGCGGCGTAGAATATCTGGTGGGAGGAGCCTGCGATTTTTTCGGCGGCGATGGCTCTTGCGTCGGCGACACTTGGAAGGCGTCGCGACGTTTTGTCGCGAAATCGGGCGGCCTAGTGTTCGCAAACTCTCTCGGCGAGTCTTGGCGACGTTGCGTCGCGAAATCGGGCGGCCTAGTGTTCGCAAACTCTCTCGGCGAGTCTTGGCGACGTTGCGTCGCATGTTCCGGAGGCGCAGTGTTCGCAAACCCTCTAGGCGAGTCTTGGCGACGTTGCGTCGCGAAATCGGGCGGCCTAGTGTTCGCAAACTCTCTTGGCGAGTCTTGACGGCGGCTTGTCGCAGAATCTTTCCTCAGCGAGGATAGAATCGTTTCGCGGTTCTCAGCCGAGCAATCTGGAGGCTCCAGCGGCGAAATCGTTTCGCGACGTTGCGTCGCATGCTCTGGAGTCGTTAAAATCGCGTCGCGACTTTTCTTCGCAGAATCTGGAGACCCTGGCGACGAGGACATGTTCGGATTGGTCTGAAAACAGCTATCATTTTCAAAAAATCCAGAAAAAACTCAAGTTGTCACTAGAGAGCCCATGAAACCTCTTGAAACACCTTAAGGGACCACTTGGCCTTAATTATAACTGAAAAAGAGTTTCTTCAACCATTTTGACATGAAGTTGTCAAGAAAGTGATCACTTAAGGATTGCGAGTCTAAGTGGTAACTTTAGGGGCTCCATGAGACGTTTAGTGTTAGCTTCTTCTCTTTTTTAGGACGAATTTTTAAAAAAACTCAAGTGATCAGTTAAGGGGTTTTTGAACATTTCCTCATAAACTCAAGGGGCCCGTCAAGAGGTGATTTTTTTCAGCCCTTCTGCGAAAATTTATAGTGGCCCCTATAGAGGAGAGGACACTGAAAAGGCCAATATTTTCCGATTTAGTGGCCACTACAGAGGTTTTTCATTCAGTATTCCTTCCAGTAACTCTGATAGTTTTAAAACAAAGATTGGACCAGTTATGTTGATCTATTGACCCCTAAAGTGGCCACTAAGTGGTCTAGTAGTAGCACTTAGACCTCTATAGTGGCCACTAATTTTCAACCCCTTAAGCGGCCACTAATTCGACTACTATAGTGGCCACTAAAACGTCAAAACCCTATAGTGGCCACTAAAAATTTTCCCAGTTTATAAGAAAAGCAACCTCTGAAGCGACCACTTAAGCAGACCCTTAATCTCCTCTTTAAGAGGTCTATTTGCCTTCTTTTGGCGTTTAATAGCGAACCAAACTTTTAAAAAAATCAAGAAAGACTAAAATAATTCATTTTAAAGCTAAACTCATTTTTTTTTTCTAATCTAAAAAATCACCAACCGGCTCGACAATGAACGTAATTTCGTGGTAATCTCCCTCTTTCAGAGAAAAACGAGTGGGCTTTTTCTGACGGATGAATACTGAGTGCGGGTTTTTCCAAATCGAATGAAACTAGAAAAAAATTTTTTAAATCACCTCAGATCAGAAACTTACAATGCTGGCATTTCAATGTGCCGTCGTCTAGTAGAGCCACATCGGTCTGAACTTTTCATTTTTAATAAAAATCAAACTCCAAAATTTTTTTTTATTCCAATTTTAGATTGAGGTGAAGCTTCTAGAATCTTCCCAAAAATGTTCTATTATCCATAAATTAGACAGTGTTCAAAACAAGGAGGTAATTAGAGAAAAATACAATTTTCAAAAATGACTAGCGATTTTTTCAATGCACCACTAGACACATGATCAACACGAAATTATGAATTTTAGCGGAAACAGAAAAGTGTTTTTTTAACATTTTCGGAAACTTGTCCAGGAAAAGAAAATATTTCAAATTTTTTAAAGGAATTCTGAGTAAAAGAAAGAGATTTATACGTACTTTTAGTTGTCTTGAGATGTCAGTGAACGAAGAAAAAGTTTATTTTTCAAGCTTTTTAAAAATCAAAACTTTGCGCCCGACCTCAAGCGACTTTGGAAAAAAGCGAGAGATGAAACGCAGCAGAGAGAGTCTTAGAACGATGTCCAGAGGAGCATTTCACGCAATAATGAGCTTGAGAAGTAGGTTTAGACGTCTTTGTAGTCATTTTTGTACTAAGGTACCGAGGAATAGACATATCTATCCTTTTTTCAAGTTTCCAGTATTTAAAACTTTGCGCCCGACCTTAAGCGACTTTGGTGAGAGCTAGAGAGAGCAGAAGACGGAAAAGAAGTTAGAAACGTTTTCTAGACACTAAATAATGAGCAAAACTAAGAGATTTAGACGTCTTTCTAGTCATCTTTTCACAAGATAACAATTAATAGAGTAATAAATATTTTTTTATTAGCTTTTTTTGGAAATGCAAACTTTGCGCCCGACCTTGAGCGACTTGAGCGAGAGCGAGAGACAACAGGAAGCAGTGAGAGTCTTAAAAGGGGTTTTTCTGAAAGTGCTTGGCAAAATAAAAAGCTTAAGAAGGTTTTGACGTTTTTTAGTCACTTTCGTCCCAAGCTAGCAGCATGATTTCAAGTTTTGATTATTTCAAATTTTGCGCCCGACCACGAGCGACTTTGGCAAGAGCGAGAGACAACAGGGAGCAATGAGAAAGTTAGAAATAATTTTTTAAAGACGCCTGACTAACTGATGAACGAAAAATAGCGGTTAATGGGGCACATACCATTTTCACCACTTCAAATTTTGCGCCCGACTCCAAGCGACTTTGGCAAGAGCTAGAGACAACAGAAAGCAGAGAGAGGGTAAGAAATATTTCTTCAAAGACGCTTGACTACGATAAGCAAAAAAAAAACAGCTGGGAAAAGAGTATATTAATTTCTCGCAGCTTCAAACTTTGTGCCCGACCCTAAACGACTTTGGCAAGAGCTAGATACAACAGGAAGCAGAGAGAGTGTTAGAAAGGTTTCTTTAAAGACCCCTGACTAACTGATGAACGAAAAACAGCGGTGAACAGAGTATATAATATTTTTAAATTTTCAAACTTTGCGCCCGACTTGGAGCGACTTTGGCGAGAGCTAGAGACAACAGGGTTTCTAGAGAGTAGCTTAGTAAAAGAATACATAGAAAAAAAAACACCTGAATGTTTTTTTCAAAATGAAAAATACCTGAAAGAGATTCGGCGCACAAGCCGTGATTCGTCCAAGGTGCTCTTTGACCGAAATAATTTTGCCATCGACTCCAATATCCACGTTGAAAACGTCGCCTTCACGAGCATTTTTTGGGATTTGGAATTGCGTGAACGGGAGTTCCTTGTATGGTTTCTCATGTAGAGTTACAAAATGTGTAACATCGGGAGAAACTCGGGTCAAAAGCGCCTTCGCAGTCAGCTGTAATGATTGAAATTTGAGTGAGTATTTTTTTGATGTTTTAAAGGCACAGGGAGGAGTCAATAGGAAGTCACTGCGCCTTAAAACCCCCAAAAGGTCATCTTGATACATTTTTGAGGGATTAAAGGCGCAGGGAGGGGTCTAGGAAATCTCCCTGCGCCTTCAATAACCTCCTAAGACTGGTATGATTTTTGGGAAGTTTTCAAAGGTTGGATTTATTTTCGTCGGGAAATTTTAAAGGCGCAGTAAAGAGTCTAGGGGAAACCTCTGTGCCTTTAATAACATTCAAAGAATGACATAATTCGTTTTGGAATTATTTAAAGGCGCATGGAGGGGTCTAGTGAAACTCAAGAAGCTTCTAAGACTGGTATAATTTTTTTTTTTGCTGCGGGAGCTTAAAGTTCAAAGGAGGGGCTAGTGAAACACTCTGCGCCTTTAACAACCTCAAGAGGTTGGCATGATTTAGTTGGGAAATTTAAAGGCGCAGGAGATTTCACGGAAAACTCTCTGCGCCTTTAAAAAACTCAAAAGGTTGACGTACTATATTTTTTTTGGAAGTTTAAAGGCGCATAGAGATGAGTCTAGGGGGAACCTCTGTGCCTTTAATAACATTCAAAGACTGGCATTATGTCTTTGGGGAATATTTAAAGGCGCAGAGAGGAGTCTAGGGAAACTCGATGCGACTTTACAAACCTAAAAAGGTTGGAATAATTTTTTTTTTTGGAGTGGAAAGTTTAAAGGCGCAGCTAGGAGCCTAGTGGAACTCTCTGCTCCTTTGAAAATCTCAGAATCTCGGCATGATTTTATTTTTTGAGGCAAAGGCGCAGGGTGGTGGCCAGGAAAACTCTCTGCGCCTTTAATAAGCTCGCAAGGTTGGCATGACTTTTTTTGAAGAATATTTAAAAGCGCAGAGAGGAGCCTGGGAAAAATTCCCGCGTCTTTAAAAACCTCAAAAGGTTGTTATGAAATAACTTTGAAGGCTTAAAGGCGCAGAGAGAAGTCTAGTGAAACTGCCTGCGCCTTTAATAAGCTCGCAAAGTTGGCATGACTTTTTTTGAAGAAAATTTAAAGTCGCATGGAAGTGTTTAGGAAAAAATCCCGCGTCATTGAAAACCTCAAATGACTGGCATTTTTTTAGGACCATTTAAAGGCGCAGAGAGAAGTCTAGTGAAACTCCCTGCGCCTTTGATAAGCTCGCAAGGTTGGCATGATTTTTTTCAAGAATATTTGAAGGCGCAGGAAGGAGTCTATGGAGAAACCTATGTGCCTTTAATAACATTCAAAGACTGGCATAATTTACTTAGGGGTTATTTAAAGGCGCAGATAGGAGTCTAGAGAAGCTCCATGCGCCTTTAAAAACCTCAAAAGGTTGGAATAATTTTTTTTTTTTTGGAGGGAAAGTTTAAAGGCGCAGCTAGGAGCCTAGTGGAACTCTCTGCGCCTTTGAAAATCTCAGAATCTCGGCATGATTTTATTTTTTGAGGCAAAGGCGCAGGGTGGTGTCCGGGAAAACTCCCTGCGCCTTTAATAAGCTCTTAAAAGTGGTAAGATGTATTTTTTTTAGAGGGAAAGTTTAAAGGCGCGGGGAGGGGTCTAAGGAAAACCTCTCCACCTTTGATAACCTCTAAAACTTCTTTTTGGGACCATTTAAAAGCGCAGGTGGGAATCTAGAGAAGCACCCTGCGCCTTTAATTAGCTCGCAAGGTTGACATGATTTTTCAAGGAATATTTAAAGGCGCAGGAGGTGCCAAGGAAAGCTTTAAGAGCTCTAAAATCAGGCTCAAGCCAGCCATGAATGAACTAAAATTTAAAGAAAGACTTTTACTTCTTTTTTGTTGACTCTTTTTAAGAAAATCCAAAAATTTCTCACTTTGACAAGATTTTCCGTGGGCAAGTCGACCACCGCCTCTCGCTGACATGTTTCGAACTCAATCTAAAAATGGACTTTTTTCCAAAAATCTGGAATTTTCTGAAAAATACCGGTTTCGCGCGGAATATAATCGCCTCAAAATTGTTATTGTCGCTAGTTGATTCGAAACGGACCAGAAAACTATCGTCCTTTGGTTCGTATAGACCCTCCCAGTGGGAGATTTTTCACATTAGCTGAAAAACCTTAAATTTTTTTGTTTTATGAAGAAGAAAAATGTTTGAATATATACAAATCAAGTTCATAAACGGCCTTAAAAATAGCTTAAAATTCATTAAATTGCGAAAAATTCGCCTGAAAACAGCATAAAAAAATGACCTAACTAGGGTTTTAACTAGGCTAAAAAAATTCAAAAAAAGATTTTTTTAAAAAAACCTTATACCCTTTTTTTAAAGGCTGAAAAGCTTATTAATAACAAAACTGGCCTGAAAACCTAACCTTAAACCTTTTTAATTAAGGAGCTTCTTTTTAAAAATAAGGCTTAACTACCTTAAAAGGCCCTAAAAATCTTTCAAAAAAGGCCTAAAAACGCGAAAATTCTGAAAAATCCGGTCATTTTTTACCTTAAAAACAATTTTATTTAGAAAATTCAGATGAAAGTATTCTAAATAGCTTGAAAATAGCTCTAGAAGCTCAAAATCTAGCCTAAAATCCTTCAAAAAGGCAAAAAAAGTCGTAGATTTTCAAAAAACCCCAAATTTATTACTCACCTACACTCGTCACAATCGTCTTCATATCCTCACTGAACTTGCCCACAGCCTGAAAAAAATTAAAATTATTAAAAATGAACTCAGGAAATCTTGTAGGAAAGGTTTTTCCTTTCATTTTTCCTAAAAAAATTTTTTTTTCAATTTTTTTCTTGTCTTTAAATTCAACTCAAGAAATCAGATTCTGGCCCTAATTTCATTTCAAAATATCTTCTAACGCATTTTTAAACCAGTATAATTCTCAAAACCTCCTTTTTTTAATTTTTAATGATAGCCAACTTGATTGAAAACTATGTTAAAGTGAAGCTTAGAAACCAAAATTATGCCTAGTCAAGCTTGAAAAGCGCATTTTACTAGTAAGAAGTGAGCTAGAAAAGTCTGAAAAGCACACTGAAACAGCAAAAAAAAGAAAAATGTGCCAATTTTGGCCTGAAAATTCCAGAAAATCGCACTTAACCAGCAAGAAGTGAGCCTAAATGGAGCTCAGAAAGTCATTTTTGCCTGAAAAACCCCAAAAAGCCCTTTCTGAGCTAAAATTGACCTAGAACGATCTAAAAATCCCATTTCATCATCAAAAACAGAGCCTAAATGAAGCTCACAATTTCAGTTTTGGCCTGAAAAATCCCAAAAAGGCCATTTTAAGATAAAATTGGCCTGAAACCTTCCAAAAAGCGCTTTTGATCGGCAAAAAAATGAGCTAAGGTGAGCAATTTAGCCTGAAAATTTCAGAAAATCGCACTTGCAAGAGCTAAATTTGGCCTAGATAATCACAAAAAGCCCATTTTGGCATAGAACTTCCTAAAAATCACACTAAATCAGCAAACGTTGAGCCATAATGAGCTACCTAGAAAATCGCCTAGATTGCCCATGGAGCGCATTTACTCAGCAAGAAGTATGAGCTAAATTTGGCCTAAAGCTTCCTTGAAATCGCATTTAATCGGCAAAAGGTTAAATGAGTTGAAATCGGCCTAAATCATCTCGAAAAGTGCATTTGACCGGCAAGAAATGATGCAAAAAAAGCTAAATGATGCAAAATAAGCTAAATCTAGTTCAGGAAACCCTGAAAAGCCCATTTTCCTTTCCCCTCACCTCATAATATGCGCCCTTGGCGTTGTAGTTGAACCCATAGACCTTGCCGACGACTTCGCTGACTTTCGGGCCATCCGTGACCCGGGCGTCGACGATATCGCCCTCGAGGAGCGTCAATTTCCCGTAATAGGGGAATTTGACGTCACAATAGGGCTCTTCGTGGAGCGATGTCGCCGTGATTTCGGATTTCGTGACTTTTCTCACGAGCAGCTTTTGGATATTCTAAAAGTTGGCCATTGGAAATTTATTTTATATTTTTTGATTTTTCTTGGGTTTTTTAACCGCTATGGACACCTATCGTAGACGTGCGTTGCGTTCGCGACGCGGTTTTTGGCGGGAAATTAAAATTCAAAATTTTCAAAAATTTTTTTCGGAAAAGGAGCAATTTTTCATGCTTTCTATTGCAAATAAACTGATCGAAAGCTTTCAGGACACGGTACTTTTTAAATTTGAATTTCCCGCCGAAAGAAGCGACGCGGCCGCAACGCGTGACTACGGTAGCTTCGGGTCAGGGAAAAATGCTTGATTTTTAGAATCTAATGCGCGATTTCGTTCAAAGTAACCTTAGCGATAATGAAAATTACGGGTTTTCGTTCGAAATGATTCAAATCTAAAAGCAATCGGGTCCTATAACGAGACTTTTGGCGCAAAATTCAAAACTTACAAAAAAAAAAGTGCTTTTCTGTTATTTTTTGGCGCTACCGCACAAAATCTACAACGAGATTTTTGGCGCGAAATTCAAATTTTGGTTTAAAAAGTTCAAAACCCTTCAAATTTTGAATTTTGGACGTTGCCGCGAAATTTAAAGTTTGGGTTCAAAAATGTCCAAAAGTTTTCGAAATTCGGAAATTGGCGCGAAATCTACAAGATAGCACCTTTATACCCGCGAATTCAAAAATTCTTTTCAAAAAAATTCAAATTTCGAATTTCAGACAAAATCGCGACCGCACAAAATCTACATTGCAGGCGAATTTCAAAAAAAAATCATGATAGCTCCAAATTTTTTAATTTCGGAAATTGGCGCGAAAACTACAAGATAGCACCTTTAAAAGCGCGAATTCAAAAATCTTCAAATTTCGAATTTCAGACAAAATCTACAACGAGATTTTGCGCGCGAAATTCGAAATTTGGGTTCAAAAATGTTCATATTTTGAATTTCGGACACTGGCGCGTCCGCACAAAATCTACAGCTTATTTTGTTGCGAAATTTAAAATTACGGTTCAAAAATGTCCAAAAATTTTCGAATTTCAAATTTCGGAAATTGGCGCGAAATCTACGAGACAGCACCTTTATACGAGCAAATTTAAAAATTCCTTTCAAAAATCTTCAAATTTTCGAAAATCGCGACCGCCCGAAATTGCCAATTCCCACCAAAGGGGACACTAACCCCGGCCGGATTGAAATTATCATCGACGATTTTGAAATAAGTCTCCCCGGTTGCGTATTTCACGACAGGCGTGAAAACTACGTTGAATCGATCCCGATGATGTTTGTAGTAACACCATTCATCTTTGATCCAAACTGAAAAATAGCAAAAGATTATTTTTCCTCATGGAAAAAGGTGCAAAAAGGCGTCAAAGAGAGGTACTTAAAACACCCTGATTTCAGAAAAAAAGTTTACAAAAAAATTGGAAAAATTTATCTTTAATAGGGCTTTGTAACCTGAATCTCGGTAGGACATGAAAAGGGGGTGACTTAGCAAAAAAACGAGAAAGTTGGTGGGGGAGGGCAAAAACTGTAAAAAAACTTTCACATCCTTCGGTGCCAACCTGTCATTAGATAAATTTAAAAAAATTTTTTTCTTCGAGCATGGAGGGGGGCTTGGCAATAAGTTGTAGGGGGGGAGGGCAAAAACTGTAAAAAACTTTCACATCCTTCGGTGTCAACCTGTCAGCAGATGAATTAAAACAATCTTTTTCTTCGAGCATGGGGGGGATCTTGGAGATAAGTTCGGGGGTTGGCAAAAAAACTGTAAAAAAACTTTCTTATCCTTCGGTGTCAACCTGTCAGCAGATGAATTAAAACAATCTTTTTTTCTTCGAGCATGGGGGGGATCTTGGAGATAAGTTCGGGGGGTTGGCAAAAAAACTGTAAAAAAACTTTCACATCCTTCGGTGCCAACCTGTCATTAGATAAATTTAAAAATTTTTTTCTTCGAGCATGGAGGGGGCTTGGCAATAAGTTGTAGGGGGGGAGGGCAAAAACTGTAAAAAAACTTTCACATCCTTCGGTGTCAACCTGTCAGCAGATGAATTAAAAACAATCTTTTTCTTCGAGCATGGGGGGATCTTGGAGATAAGTTCGGGGGGTTGGCAAAAAAACTGTAAAAACTTTCTTATCCTTCGGTGTCAACCTGTCAGTAGATGAATTAAAACAATCTTTTTTTCTTCGAGCATGGGGGGCTTGGAAATAAGTTGGGGGTTGGCAAAAAAACTGTAAAAAAACTTTCTTATCCTTCGGTGTCAACCTGTCATTAGATAAATTTTAAAAAAATTTTTTTCTTCGAGCATGGAGGGGGCTTGGCAATAAGTTGTAGGGGGGAGGGCAAAAACTGTAAAAAAACTTTCACATCCTTCGGTGTCAACCTGTCAGCAGATGAATTAAAACAATCTTTTTTTCTTCGAGCATGGGGGATCTTGGAGATAAGTTCTGGGGGAGGGCAAAAACTGTAAAAAAACTTTCACATCCTTCGGTGTCAACCTGTCAGCAGATGAATTAAAACAATCTTTTTTCTTCGAGCATGGGGGGATCTTGGAGATAAGTTCGGGGGTTGGCAAAAACTGTAAAAAAACTTTCACATCCTTCGGTGCCAACCTGTCATTAGATAAATTTAAAAAAAAATTTTTCTTCGAGCATGGAGGGGGCTTGGCAATAAGTTGTAGGGGGAGGGCAAAAACTGTAAAAACTTTCACATCCTTCGGTGTCAACCTGTCAGCAGATGAATTAAAACAATCTTTTTCTTCGAGCATGGGGGATCTTGGAGATAAGTTCGGGGGGTTGGCAAAAAAACTGTAAAAAAACTTTCTTATCCTTCGGTGTCAACCTGTCAGTAGATGAATTAAAACAATCTTTTTTTCTTCGAGCATGGGGGCTTGGAAATAAGTTGGGGGGTTGGCAATAAGGGGGACAAAAAATTCTGAAAAATTCGATTTTTTGAAAGTTACCTAGTTCAAAAGCTGACTTTTTCGCTTTTCTTGTGAATTTTCGAGTTAATGGATATTTTTTTCAACTTTTCAGAATCAGGGTGTCAAAAGTACCTCTCAAGGAACTTTTTGGCCTTTTTTTCAACTCACAATGGTCCGTGTCCAGCTCATTGATGATTGAAGTGTCTTTGGGGCGAAATGCTTCTATCTGCATTTTTGAGTCATAAAATGTTTTTGAATCAGGAAAAACCTTGAAACATTTGCCATCGAGGGGAATGCGATCAATCGTTTGGAAGTTTCGGATCGCTCCTTTTGAATCCAAATCCAACAATACGACATCCCCTCGCTCCAACCGAAACTTTAGCCGTAAAAGTGTGAAGAAACACTTTCTTCGGTAGGAATTCGGATCGCTCAGGTCAACGGCATTCACGGAGGTGGGGCCCACATGAAGAACCAATGCCTTTACATTTTGAGGCATCTGAAAATATTGACCCTGACCCCGTGTTCTAATAAGCTTTTTATTATTTTAAAAAAATATTAAAAAAATTGATTCCCTCAGAAAAATTGCGTTCTTCAACACGGGCAATGTTCATAAGGACCAAAAAGCTTTCAGAAAATTTAAAAAGCCTTTTTTTTCTCAAATTTTCTCTAGAAAATCCTTTCAAGAGAAAAAATAAAAGATTCAGAGAAGTTATTGACACCTTTCACAGTAGGAATGGTGGATAATGACCGTTAAAGAGGACAAGTTGCAAAAAGGCTGCAAAAAGGCTGCAAAAAAGACGCAAAAAGGCAGCAAAAAGATAGCAAAAAGACACCAAAAGGGCCGCAAAAAGGCTTCAAAAAGGCAGCGAAAAGAGTGTTTTTATCAAGCCTTCCATTTTTTCTGGAATTTTAAAGACTCAAGAAATGGTGGAAAAAGGGAGAGACAGCAAAAATGGCGCAAAAAGGCAGCAAAAAGGAAAATTTCTGTGGAGCCTTTTTCCACCTTTTCCGACTTTGAAATTGCAGGAACTTGATTAAAAAAAATCTAGATGCTTTTTTTTGAAGCCGTTTAGACCTTTCCCGTGCACTAGATGACGACTTTCCAAATTTTAACGTTATTTCGACATATTTTATACGAAAGTCGTCATCATATCGCTGTAAGACCCAATTTTTCTAACGGCCCTCGAAATTCCAATTTTATATGTATGTCACGTTATCATTTTATATGAACAAAACGTCGATTTGGAAATTATTAAACACGGCATAAAAAAAGCGGAGGAAAGTTCTTTATATGGACATCCATGTATCTTTTTTTCTTGAAGGTAAAAAATTACGAATTGAAAATTATTAGTTTGAAATTGTGGGCTTTTAATGTGACTAAAATCATGATTTTTCTTTATTTTCTCTGATTTTCACTTGATTTTTGATTAAATGTCGGCGGAAAAAAAAAACCAAAAATAAAATGGCTTTTTGTAAAATCAGTACTTATCTAAATTAGGGAACAGAACCTTGATATGAAACGGAGGAGAGAAAAAAAAATTACTAGAAAGAGAAAAAAAAACAAAAAGCGGACATTTCCATACTCTTTGGGAAAAAGGAAAAATAGATCTTTTTGTAGCACCTGCTGGTAAGCTGCTACGACATTATTCTCGTTCGCATCTGGGAATTAAACCAGAACTTGTTTTTAGTTTGGTTTTTCTTCGATTTGAATTATGGCGATTAAAAGACTGAAAATTTCAGAGACCCTTGGTGATCAGATATCATTACCTGATAAGAGATCAATTCAGAACAAATTGATGAACAAACACATTTTTTTCATATTAAGAAAGGTCTATCAGAGAGCCATTTTTTATTGATAAAAAAGGTCCTTTCAAAATATTTTTCAAAAAAAAAGGAGGACAAAAAGTAACGGATAGAAACGTCTTCATTAAAAAAATTTATCATAACTTTTCGTCAACATTTGAAAAGTTAAAGTTTTTTTCAAGGTATTCAAAAGCCTAATAAACATTTAAAAAACTGATATCGATCAGAAAAACTTTAAAAAATCAATAAGCTCCGAAAAAATTGCAAGGGTGAGAAACAATCGAACGAACAGAGAGAGGCCGATTGCAACAGATGCTTCTGTCTGACAACAGCGAGAAAAGGACACGTGTTGCTATAAATTCGCGCAGCTGTCACTCAACTCATCAATTTGTCGTCTCACGATAAAAAGATATCAAAAAGTGGTTTTCTCGAAAATATTTTCTGATTTGCTTGGAGAAGCATAGAATCTTTCGAAACTTTTATCAAAGCAAACGTTTTTTGTTCAATTTCTGACCCAATACATTTTCAACGGTCATAAATAATACAGAAACAAACTTGAAAAAATAATGAAAAAAAGAAAGTCGACCAAAAACTCTATTTGAGGAAAGTGCGCGCCAACGCACTGTTGAAAATCACTAAAAAGGCGCATATATAAATTTTTTTTAAATTGTTTTTTCTTCAAATTTTTCATTTTTGCATTACTTTTTCTTTATGGCGTGTTCATCGGAGAAACGAAAAATCGTGTTCATCGGCGGGCCAAAGTTGCTCCAATTTTTGTTTTGCAGCAATTTTCGCTTGTCCGATGAACACGTCATCAATAACTTTTTTCAATAATTCACATTTATTTTTTTTTTTTTCTGCTCAATTTATTGTGAACTACTAACGTCTTCATTTCATTTCTTATTCTATTGTTTTTTTTTCACATTTTTTAAATTTTTTTTGGAGAATCATTCAAACTCAAGGACCGACAATTTATAAGCTCGCATATTTTTAAATTCTCGTTTTTTTCGAAGTTTATTCCATAAAGACCCTAAGACATATAATAGATAAGCTCACATTTTGAGAAAAATCGAGGATAATCGAGTAAAAAGTTCAGTTGATAGGGTTTGAGCGGAAAGGAAGGCTCGAGAACTTGCTGGAATAGGAGGGGCGGAGCCAGTAAAGCCACGTCGGCCAGCAATTTTTTTCTCACAAAATTTTTGAGAAAATAAATAGGAACGAAGAAACAAAGTGCGAGAAATGTTTTTGATAGAGCGAAAATAACAAATCCCTCCACGTCCTCGGAACGCTCTTTTTTTGTTACTTTAAACTAAAGTTTTTGGGGGCTCGTTTTACGATTTTTCGATCATTTTTTTATTGGTTTTCTCCCTTTAAAGCGTAATTTTTGAATTATGAAGCTGTATAATTTATTTTTTCACAATGAGAACAGAAAAAGGCGATTTTACTGCTTATTTTTCGTGATTTTTTTAACTTTTTCGTGAAAATTGCGATTTCGCGTCTTTTTCGTAATTTTTCCTGTCGTTTTTTTCAAGCATTGTTAGGGATAACTTGAACATCCAGGATCAAAAAAATAGTTCATTTTTCTGTTTTTTTAAATCAAAAATAGAAAAACGATTTTTAATACACAATTTTGAGCAATTTTGAGCTTGTTTTTTTATTTATTTTTTTAACTCGATGTAAGCAAATCAAAAAACTACCAACCTTTAATCTTTAGATGGAATATTGAACAGATGAAGAGCTGATGAGGTCACTTACATCAGGAATAAAGAAAGAAATGTGAATAGCGACTTTTTATGGGCCGACACCATCGCTGAGATTAGAGAAACGCAGAAACCGCTCTCCCAAGAATCAACACTCTCTAGCCCGACCCTGGCGTGTCTGCCGCTCACCTGTTTGCGCGTGAAAAGCCCCTTTTTTTTTGCGTTTTGCCGCGTATTCAAACTTATATCGCAATTAGCGGCCTAATGAGTTGGTCACTATAGTGTACTTAATAGCCCTTCAGTGAGCCCTCTGGGCTTTTCTCCGGCATCTTGTTGAATTTTTGAAGAATTTTTGAGCAGTTTCTGAGGCTTTGGACATGGGTTTCAGGCTTCTAGAGGAATAAATCAATAAGTAGTCACTAGAGTGTACTTAATACCCCTTCAGTGAGCCCTCTGGGATTTTCTCCCGCATCTTGTTGAAATTTTGAAGACATTTTAAGCATTTTTTGATATTTCAAACATGGCTTACAGGCTTAAAAACACAAGTAGTCACTAGAGTGTACTTAATAGCCCTTCAGTGAACCCTCTTGCCTTTTTTGCCGCATCTTGTTGAATTTTTGAGGTCGTTCTGAGCAGTTTTTGAGGTTTTGAACATAGGCTTACAGGCTTCTAGGGGATTAAATCATCAAGTAGTCACTATAGTGTTCGCAACAGCCCTATAGTGAACCCTCCGGGCTATTTTTACGCCTTTTGAAGAAATTTTTGCACTTTCGGCAACGCGATGAGTTTTCAAATAGCTTGACCGATTTCTCAGAAATTTTTCCTGAAATAAATCAAGGATGTAAAAAAGTAAGAAGTTTCTTCCCAATACCTTCTAAAGCTTAAAATTTTTTTCTTATCTTTTTTTTTAACTTTAATACTTGAATTTCGTCGTTGCTATAGCAACTCCAGGCTTTGAATAACCCTAAATAACATTTAAAATTGCTCTTTGCCTCATGACCTTCATGAAATACGAATTTTTGCGGAACTAATTTTTTTCCTACCATCAATGCTCCTTGAAAAAACAGCAAGGATATATCAAAAATATGTCTTTTTGAAATTGTGAAGAAAGCTTTTTAAAAAATAGACTTTTCCATTAGATCGGTCAAAACCAAAGTAACGAGCTAGGAAGCAAATTCTTATCTTATCACAACCATCAAGGCGCTCTTACTCTGAGCAAGGGGAAATATTGCGAAAGCTTTAAAACAACGCTTTTCCGCGTTTTTATCATTCTCCTCTCAACGTCCTGTTCGAGAAAACCTTCTTCCTTCAGGTTCTTTCTTCTATTCTAGTTTTTTTATCCCTATTGCCTTACTGAAATTTTAAAGATTGTATTTCTCATTTTTCATAAATGTATTGGGTTCCAGAAAATCTCATTAATTAAATTTAAATTAGGATAATATATAAATAAAAAAAGGAGATTTTTTTCGATAAAAGCTTTTAAAAAAAGAACCAAACCTGCTTTCTAGAGAAGATTGGATCGTTCTGCAGTAGTTCTGATAAAAAAATAGTAAAAAGAAATGAAATAAAAAAATTGGAAAAAAAGTTTCATCAAATTTTTGAAAATATTGATTTCCCGATGGTACGACAAAATCTCAAGTCCGCAAATCACGAGGACCGTAATCTTGTGTACGCAGATCTAAAGTCCCATAATCTTGGAAACCAAAATCTTGGAGACCAAAATCTTGGAAACCACAATCTTGAAAAGTAAAAATCAACGCTTTTGCGAATAGATTTTATCAGAAATTGTATTCGGTGATCCAAACAAGAGAATATAAGTAGATAAAGTGCAATAAAGAAGACTAAAAAGGAATATTTTTGGTTTCCAAGATTATGGGACTTTAGATCTGCGTACACAAGATTACGGTCCTCGAGATTTGCGGACTTGAGATTTTGTTGTACCATCGATTTCCCTACATTGGCCATAGAGCGCACATGGAAGAAAATTTATTTTGAAAGTCAAAATGTTTTTTTTCTATTTTTCGGTTTTAATTTCGTTCCTAGCTTCAATTTCAAGACGTGAAAAACTTGGATTGTGTAAAATACCATTGATATTTTCATTTCGCTTTGACTATACTCCTTTTTAAGTCCAATAAACGATTGTTGAATGATTTTCTTTGATTTCTTTTGTTCGAAAATCGAAAATGCGTTCCATTTTTCAGGCAAGGCGTTTCATCAACCAGTGGGCGTTGATAAAAGGAATCATTTATTGAAATGTTCCCAACTGCGAACGGAATGGTAGGTTTAGAGAAAAAAAGTTGAAAAGACGTCAAAATGTTTCATTTTTGTACTGTTTTCCGGATTTTGAGGTCTTTCACTTTATTGGGAAAATAAAAAGGCTTGTTAAAATTTTTCTGAGCTTTATTTCAAAATTAATTATTGTAATTCCTTGAAGAATTAACGAAAGTTTGAAAAGTTGTTGGAGTTATGATTTTACTATTTCTTGATGAAAGCATTCCAATTCCTATCAAGAAACTTCCCTTCTTGCATTTTCTCGATCTTGTCTCACGGAAGTGATTAATTGAGGATTTTTTCAGATGGAGCCGATCCTTGTGAGCAACATCGACAAGGACAAAATGTACGCCGTCGCTTTGGGCCAACATCCCTACCGTTCCATTCTGATTCATTCGAATCGAATCCCGAGAGTCGGATTTCCAATCACCCGCGGGCAGATTCTGAGTGTCAGGATTGATTCGACTCGGAAAGTCGAAGCGATTTTCGGCCCGTTGGGCTGTTTGGAAGCCAAGGGCGCGTATTATCAGGTTCGGAATTCATTTTTCGATAATTTTCTGGTTCAGGGGCTTTTTTCGAAGAATAAATTTCATTCTTAAAAGAGTGGTCCCTATAGGGGTCAAAAAATCCCCTGGGAATAATCCGACGTTACCAACATGTTTGATTTTCAGCATGAAAGTATAACCATTCGATTCGTCTCATTGAGATACGTACGAATATCATAAAATTATTTGGCGCTAGTAAGAAGAAATAACTTTATGGTGTGCAAAAACCAGAAAGAAAATTTCAAAAATTTCGCTGCATTTTTCGACGCTGATTCAATTCAACTATCGCTACTACGCCATGATAAGAAATAAGCTTTTAAAATAGGAAAAAATTTGAAAATTATTCGAAAAAAACAACGCAAAAAAGAAAAAAAAAAGAGAAATCACAGTAAAAATAAGCGACCGCGTCGAAGCCCGCGCTTACGCAGTATGCTCCTTTAATATTTTTTTCTTTCTTTTGGGAAATACATTTACAGATTTTTTTGCTACGCGTATCAAGTTTGCAAACCGTTTAGAGCTACCTGATAGTGTTTTTCCTGTCCACGTTTTGAAACTAAATGCTTTTTTATGTCAAGTATTTCATTTATTTGACGAATTGTTCACTGTGGCTCAGTTTTTTTCGAAGCGAGCCACAGTCGGCTTCGCGCTATGCGCGCTCCGCCTCCGTGTGAAGCCTTAAAAACTAAGCCTATTTTTCTTAAGTAATTCATTAAAAGAAAAAAAGCAAAAAAACTTCTATTCCTCAGAATAAACACTTGATTGAAAACTAATAAAGTTCATCTTAAAATTTTTCTAAGTGGTCAGCGCCAAATAATTTTATGATATTCGTACGTATCTCGACGAGACGGATCGAATGGTTATACTTTTATGCTGAAAATCAAACATGTTGGTAACGTCGGTTTATACCATCCCCTGTAGCGGGCGAAAATGTGCTTGCTAAAGGAGTAAAATTGAAGTGGTCCCTTAAGAAATCAAGAATCTCTTGCCCCTTATAGTCTGTTCAGATTTTGAATGTCAAGAGCGATGACGTCACTCGAAAACGCCCTGTGGATGGCTCGCTCTCTGATTGGTTTATAGTGCCATTAGGGGCGGAGCTTGAGCGACGACTTGACATTCAAAATCTGAACGGACTATAGCCCCTAAAGTGGACCCTATAGGGGTCTTCCAATTTCATTCAAGAAATGCTTATTTATTCAGTTTTTTTTTCCTGTAAATGCTTCTTCACTCAGAGTTCATAACAATTATCGATTAGCATGTCCCCTCTAGGGACCACTTTGCAAGCTTGAGTGGCCCCTATAGGGGTCAGTAAAAGGGCCCCTAAGGCTGCCACTATAGGGACCGCTCTGAAGTTTCAAATTTAGGCTTTTTTAAGGCTCTAGAGCTTGGAAATAAAATGAACTTTGACTCAAAAAATCAACCTATGTTTTTGAATGAGTATCTCACCTAAAATTACACCTTAAAGTCCTTTTCGTCTCAAGACTTTTTTAAAATCACTCCATGCTCCTTTTAACCCTCTAGCGATAATTTTTCATATTTCACTGAACTTGAGAAAATTTTAAGCTAATTTTTTTCCAGAGAAATTAAAAAAAGGGTTAAGGAACTCGGAAATGATGTCGTATAGCGAATCGGGTAGTTTTAAAAAAATCAAAGAAAAAAATTTGGAAAAAAATTGAAACTTAATTTCACTGTTTCATCAAAAAAACTACCTTAAATTAGCCTTTCTTATATTTTTCTGATTTTCTCAATTCCAGACGCCAGCCGTCATCAAAAACAACGTCATCATTGCATTATTCGGTATTTCTATCGTTTTTTGAAATTCCGAATATTGAAAGTCGAATTTTCCAGGAAACTTTATCATCACCGACCCTGATGGAATCCACGCCAACCAATCTGGAGCGATTTTGGTCAAATTCCGAGAGCAAACCAGCAAAGAAAAGGGCTATATCACTTTTTTCTACGCCGTTGAGGTGAGCTTTTTTTCGAATTTGAAACAAAATAATTTTTTCAAGGTCGACGCCCAGGGTCAAATCCTGAAAAAGAAGGACGAGAATAAATTTTCCGTCTCCGGGGAGCAGAAATCGGGCGCTCCGAAGCAGTTTTCCATGGTTAGTTTGATGAAAAAAATGCATGAATTTTTGTTTTTTTACAAAAGGTAATTTTGTAGGATCTTTAGGAAGTTACAATTTTAGCTTTGAAAAATGAAAAAAGTATCTTTTTAGCTCACTTTTTTCATAACTTCTTCATTTTTTTTTTTGAAAAGTATCGGTTTCAAATTCGGCTATTAAAATCGTTCCTTTGGAATCGGCAAACTTGAAAAATATGTTTTTCTGTTTTTTTATGTACTCTAGTGAACATCCCGTAGTTGCGCCCGACCTTGAGCGACTTTCCTGCTTAGCATAGATAATGACACGACGCGCAAGTAGTTTATGGTCGGTTGCGCTGAAAAAAGGGTGTTCGTTAAAAATCGTGTAGGCTGGCCTGACGCGTCGTGTCCTGTTTTTGAGACCAAGAATGAAGCTTGAAGGCTTTTTTTTGAACGAATCGATAACACGGCCTGCAAACCAAAAAGGCGGTGGGCGGAGTCAAAATCTGTTCCCAGGTGACGTCATGGGAACTGTAGTGGTTGCGACTTTAAATAACAAGGCATATTAAAGGCGCAGGCGGTTGTTTTGTACTAGGTCCTTGAGAGGAATTATTCTCACTACGAAGCGCAATTTTCTGCGCGAGAGCGTCGCAGTGCATGCACACGACACACGACACTTTACGGAGAAGAAGTGGGCGGGGCGTCGTCGAAAAAAATCGTTGTGATAAACAGAAGATATTTGTAGTACTATAGTCTGTGTGCCACGGCTTTAAATTTCACCGAACGATATTCCGCTGTTCCGCTGCGTGCGTTTGCGAAGCGTCTTTCGAAACAAGGGAAGAAGAGATAATTTCATGAGAAGATACTGTGGGAGGAATGAGGAAAGACAATCGAGACAATATTGCTTGGAAAGGCCTTGAGTTTTATTACTGATCCATCTTTCACTGCTTGACAAGCTTCATTCCGAGTTTCCAGTCCTCTTTGGCCTTGGTTTCGACTGCCGACAAAAGCAGGGCCTACATGGTCACACTCGATAAGAAGCCGTACCGAACAATTGTCGCGTTCTTCTCCAAGATCCATACTCCTTTCAATTTGGCGCATGGCCAAATTATCGACGTTGAATACAACAATGAAGGACATGTTACTGCTGTCAAAAGCCTCAAAAAGACACTCGAAACCGTTGGAAGCCATTTCAAGGTACTCTAACACCTGCATAAAGGTATAATGAGGAATTTTCAGGTGGAGGCCAGCTACAGGAAGGGCGTCCTCCATTCAGATTACTGTAGGATTCATAGTCATAAAACTTTCTTATGAAGATTCCTTTAGACTCTTTCGAAATCGAAGACCCGAAAGGTGTCGGAAAATCCAATAATTATGTCATTTTTCGTACTCTCGACACGAAGGATGACATACACACGACGACTTTTATTACAGTCCCAGTGAGTTCCAAAAAGAATCACTTAAGGGATCAATTTCGTGTCACTTAAGGGGTTTCTGGGAGTGAGAGACATCTTTAAGCGCTCCCAAAATAAGTTTAAAGCCCCCTTAAGAGATTAGAGAACGCAACCAAGTGGTCACTTCAGGAATAGATTTGGCAGTTTTCACTCTGGAGACTTGAAGGGGCTCTTTAAGTAGAATTTCGGTATTTTCTCCGCTCGCAGGTAGAGCTAAAGGGGACCCTTAAGAACACCTTCAAGACTCCCTCTTAAGTGACCACTTGAGGCCATCTGAGCATTATCCATTTATAGAATTTTTCTTCTATCTCATGTTATTTTCAGCAACAAAACTTGATCAAAACCAATAAAATTACGGCTCCTAATCCGCTTCCAAGTCCTCTCCCCAATCAAATTCATGGACCGGTTCGTGAAATCTCCATCGTTTCGATTTTTTGAGTTTTTTTTAGGTTCACGACTTTGGCCAATTGAACCATCCACACGCCTTCCACATGGTAATTTTTTAATAGTTTAAAGGAGCATGCCAAAGTCTGAAAAAGGGTCCCAAGAATGCGGTTTTTTTCCGCTTTAACTTAAAAGGTCATTTTTGCGTAGCGTTTGGAATTTCAAAAATTTTACGACGTTTGCGTCAGAATCCGTCAAAAAAAAAAAATAATGACAAAAAAACGATAGCGGCAAAAGGATTCGAACCTTCATCATAGGACTCGAAGGCTAAAACTCTAGCCACTGCACCACGCTCCTAGCTGCCGTGCAATGGCTTGCGCCGCTGACAGATTTCTTCCAAACAATGTTACGTGTTCAAAATAAAATCTTTAAAAAATCATTTCTCAAAAATTTTTCTGCGCAGATAGCGACTATGGGGGATCGATTTTTAGTACATCAAAGATTTTTTTAGCAAATTAATAGGAATTTCTGAACTTTACCCTAACTTATAGGATAACGAAACTATAATTTTGGTGAGCTCTATGATAAGATTTTGAAAAAAGATAAGAACTTTGATAAGTAACGACCATATCAATTTGTTTTGTTAAGAATAATCCGCCTATGATGGAACCCCCGCCGTCTTATGACGCAGTTTTCACGGGCCCATCGAGCCGAACTCACGCGGACGCCCTTCCAAAAAAGGGAGAAACTCCTCAGAATCAGGTAAAACACTATTCGGAAGCTTTTCCTCATTAAATTCGTCTTGTATTGTTATTATTGCGCCTGGAAAAACTTTTTTCAAAGCGCCAGACTTGAAACTGTTTGCGCCAAGAGGCATAGGAGAGCATTTAAGCAAGCCCCAAGCCATTCCAAATGCGACCATTTTTTGATCAATCCTTGCCTCAAATTATCATAAAGCTTCTATTAGAAAAAAACCTAGCTTACTGTCTTTTCCCTGGTCCATAATCGCGTTCTTGAAAATCCAATACTTTCCTGAAATTTCGAACCGCTAAACAATGAGCTTTTTCAGGCTCCAACCGCTCCAAAACCATACAAAAAGAATGAGAAACCGGCTGAGAACAAGAAGAAACCGCGCCCCATCGGACAAAAGTCGCAGACTCCCTCGCTAAGCCGGTCTACCTCCCAGGATCTCCCGAACTCCTCCAAACAAGCTCCGCCCCTCCCGAAGAAGGCTCCGAAGCCGAAAAAGCTGGAGCCGGCCATGAAAAACCTGCGATTGTCCGGCCAAACGCCCAAACAAGGCGACTTTGACCAAGAAAAGTTCCTTTCCGCCAAAAACGCCTTCAATTCGATGGACCAGAATGTCATCGAAAAACTGAGGGACACCGACGCCTACGCCTACGAAGGCCTCCGTAAATTCTTCAACCAATAAGAATCCCAGAAACAAAAAACTAAATCAACAAGATTACCCCAAAAAAAAAGAGAACCAAAAAAACAAACCTTTCTCCCGATTATTGTCCCTTTTATTTACCGTTATACGCCACTTTTGCCCTTATCCCTCATTCCATCATAGATGTGTATACCTTGGTTTTCTTTTTCCTTTGAAATAAAGATTTCCAATCGACGTTCAGTCAAACACTGAAAAACGAAGCTACGTACTAGGAGAATCATAGAGCGGTCCCTATAGGGATTAATTTTTTTCCATCAAAAAAAGCCAAAGAAAATAGCTATCGAACTTTATGGAAAAAATTTTAATATTCTCGAAAAAAAAATGGCAAAAAAAGTTATCGGCAAGAGGATTCGAACCTTCGTCATAGGCTCCACAGGACAACATGCTAGCCACTGCTCTACGCTTCTAGCTGCCATGCAGCGGTTGGTGGCGCGCCCAGATCCCTTCCAAACGGCGTCTCATGGTTAAGGATGAAAACTTTGAAAAATCATATCTCCAAAACAAAAAAGTTTGTGCAGATAGCGACTATGGGGCATCGATTCTCAGCCCATCAAAGATTTTTTGAGCAAATTTATAAAAAATTCGGAACCCTACGCTAAGATGACCTCCCATGTAAAATTTGATGAATATATTTAAACTCGCCGGAGTTAGCATTGTAAACTAGCAACAATATACATATTTCATTTTTCAAATAGCCAAGATTCATGCCTTAAAAATCTGTGTCTATAGCATTCTGTTGTATAGTGTGGTGAACGATCTATAACGCTCGTTTTTAGTATATATATATATATATATATATTTATGGTGGTATGAAAAGAACACCAGCGAAAATTCAAACGGCGACTTTTTCCGATTTTTTTCAAATCCACGGCGTTTCTGCCAGTTGAAGAAAAATGCAAGGAATTTGAAACTCGGCAAAGTCTGCGCACTTCTCGAAATTCGCCCGCGAAATTTGAAAAAAAGTGGTTTATTTTTTTGATTTTTTTGTCAATTTTTTTCATATTTTTTTCACTTTTTCTTTTCGTAGATTGCTGATGGTATTGCGGGACCACGATCGGGGTATACTCTGGGCTGTTAGACGTTTTTTTGAAAGTAGTTCTGTGAGGCTAACTTTAAAACTCGTGATGAAGAAGCGTTTTGAAAAATCTCCACCTGTTTGTATGGAACATGTTTCACCCCATTTTATGTTTTTCTTATTCTATTTTTTTGTCGATTGTTCAGATTCCTAGGTTGTGGACATCAATGAGATGAAGTTACATGAAAAAAAGTCTGTGAAGTTGAGAAAGTATGTTCCGGAATTCATTTATATCCGGATATTCCGTCAACTTTTTTTATTATAAAAAGTACTTGCTGTAAAACATCTTTTTATTTGTTTCTCCACAGCAATATAGTTTTATTTAATCTCTTTTAATTTCTTCGTCTTTTTTTCTTCAATGTTCATTCGTTTCTCACACTTATATCATCGGTTAACCTTATTTTCCAAATTTTTCGTGCATGCACTAAACACGTCCTAATTGACGGAGAAAAGTGGGCGGGGCGTCGCAAAAGAAACACCGTGAATCGCTAGGGAACTTTCCGACTAATCTTTTTCCGACTTTTTTTCTCGATAAAATCTTCGTTTTAAATCTTCCTATATGAAGTAGGTAGTTGGTTCATGATTAAAACACAAAGAAATAGGAAAAAAAAAATGTAAATAGATGTCTTATAAACAGAAAAATATAAGGGAAAAAAGTCGGAAAAAATTTCGTCGGAAAGGTGGCCGTCGGAAAGTTCCCTAGGGATATGAAAAAATCGGAAAAGTCACCGTTTGAATTTTCGCTGGTGTTTTTTTCATACCATCATATTTATCTTACAATATATAAAATGAACAACTACACAATAAATCTAGAACCACAGCTAATTATCAACCAAATATTGGGGTAAAAACAATTTAGGCCATTGAGGACTCAGGCACTGGTGCGCGCACGCGCGGGGTACTGATTCTTTTTTTCGCCTTTTCCACTGAAATATGGTTTTTTTAAATATTTTTTTATATTTTTTTGTGATACTACCCAGTGCTCCTGCTCACGTTTTAAAGTTGTTCCGAGCACTTTCGAACAGATTTATGATTGCCAAGTGAAACTTTGATATTTCAAATTTTTTTGTGCAATCTAACTGTTATGAACTGGTGCAGAGCAATATTAAGAGATGAACAGAAAAATATTAAATTTATAACTTTTCAATTAGTTAAAAAGCTAAAAAACAAAAAAGACACCCCGCGCGTGCGCGCAGCAGGCGGCGCGCATGCGCACTTTTGGCAACAAACACGCGCCGTCAGTGCCTGAGGAGTTCTACGCAGTAACAATGTACGCTAGCGCGCACATGAGTTGTGTGTAGTTTTACGGAGATTCCGCATTCCACAACACATTCAAAATCATATTAAAATCCAAAAAATTTGGATAAAACTGCAAGGATAATAAATATAAGTGATAACCACATGAAATAATTAGCTTCAAGGAAGTTTTCTTGAAGAGGAGCTGGTACAGCTGGCTCGTAATTATTCTGCTCTTTCTCACGGACCGGCGGGTTCTGCAAATTCAATTTTTCAAGGCTTACCATGTTTACGTTACTAATGACTTAAATGCTCAAAAGCTGGGGAACTTTGTAAATTCTGATTTAACCTGATTTTTATAGGGTGCTCTTTTCGGGAGTGCGCCCGCACTATTTGGATATTTTCCTCTTTTAACAATTTCACTGTAAGAAAGTGGAGCTGCTTCTCCGGGCTGGACATTCTAAACATGAGTCAATTTTAAAAAAGCTTCAAAATCTCAATAATCACCTCAGGAATATCGCTTGGAGGACAAATCTTCAATCTGCCGGAATCATTTGCCTGAAAGAAAAGAAAATAAAAACAGTTTTCCAATGATTTTTTTTTCTAAAACTATTCCTTTTTGGAACAAGCTCACCTCCAAGTTTCATTTCAGCCACCACTCCAAGCCTTCAAAAAGTTTACTTGTCAATCTATCATAACACGAGATCTCCTTATCTATTCCTCCAAGTCTCAAATGATGTATAATTATACAGTATAATTTTATAATCTTTTCTCTTAAATTATAGATCTAAGTGAACTCGTTAGGGTTCACGCTGATCTGTCAATAAATTATTATTATTAAAAAAGAAATTTACAGGCGAGGAAAAGTAAAATACCGAGTGTTGAGGTGAATTAGCACAATTTGGCTGTGTGCAACGGTGCAATGTCGCGACGCCCTTTCTTTTCTTACAAAATGAACATTTTTTTCACGTACGTTTAAATAAATATAAATATAAATAAGAAATCGATGCGGATGGAGAATACATCAAATTTTTGTTGTCTGTTTTATCTGAGATAAAAAGAAAAAAAGTAAAGGAAAATTTGTAATACTTACGCACCGCTCTAATAATATTTTTTTGGCCTGTAGATCAGTCTTGAAAATTTTTTTATTCTTATACCATTACAATTCTTATTGCGATCCGACAACTTTTGAAATGAGAAGTTTATATAATGAGTTTGAACGATAACAGCAAAAATCAACATATCTAGTGAAAACGAAGAAAAAGCCTTTTTCAAAAAGGGTAACACTTATTTAGGGACCGCAAAGCCACGCCCCTTTTCGCGATAGAAAAAGTGGCTTTTTTTTGGTTTTCAACTTTCATTTTGCTGTAGTTGCAAAATATGTGGAACTGGATAATAAATTTTGACATACATGTACAGAAAAAGCTTCCTCTTTCGTTTAAAAAAATATTTCAAGCTTTTTTTGATGCGTTCTCGCGGAATGTCGTACAAAAAAACGTGAATGGAACTAAAAAAATTTTGTCGTTTTTTTGCTTTTTTTCATGTGTTTTTCAGGTCGAACGCACTCTTTTTAAATAATGATTTTTGATTCAAGTAACGGTAATTTTAAAACAATAAAATAAAAAAATTCGTCTTTGCCAAAAAAATTTTTAGGGAGTGCCGAAAGTCATAATTCAAAATATCGTTAATAAGCGAATATAATCGAGTTTTTTTGTTTTTTTCAAAATTTAGATCATGGGCTTACTTAAATATTTCTCTACAGAATCTTTGCTTGAAAAAAAGTTGTTTAATACGCAAAAATGCTCTTGAAACTAGAGAACAAAAATTAGCGGCGTTTATCACACAGAAAGCGGTCGAACGCAGGTTTTTTTCAAATGATTATATACATTTATTAGTAAAAAAATCTTTCAATTAAGAATAAAATGAAAAAAATTCGTCTTTGCCAAAAAAATTTACGGGGCCGTTTTTAATGCAGCGATCATTAAACGAGGCAAAAAGCACTAAAAAAACAGTTTTTTTCGAAGTGAATTTCTCACGAAAAGTTTGAGTAAAGATTTGCGAACATATTCTAATAAAAATAGCTTAATTACTTCAAATTTTTATTTTTGAAATAGGCAATCTGTGCTATTCAAACGGCTCAAGGGTATGGCGGATGGAAGCTCCCCGAGTTGGACCTAACAGCTTGGCGCAGCGCGTGCGCTGCGATTTTTCATTTTGAGGTCGCGAGTTCGATGCCCGCAAGCGTCAGTTTTTTGTTTTCTGGAAAATACTGACTTTTTCGGCAAACTAGCAAATATTCATCATTTTAGCACTCTATTATGATTTGTTACATCATAATAGACCAGTGTCAAAAACTTGTTCTAGAAGAAAAAAATCGAGAAAATGTCAAAAATGGATAATACCAAAAATTTCAGTACTAAAAAAATAGTGCGCGACGCGCCACATTTTTCGTCATAACTTTTTTTCATCCTCAATCTTTTTTTGAAAAAAACTAAACGGTTCTAAGTTTTTGAATCAAAACAGCTATCAAACCATACAAAGCTCAATGCTGAAAAAAAATTTTTGAAAATTCGTCTGCGGTCCCTACACTTATTTTCATATAAAACGGTTGATGGTAAGTATATGTGAAATAATTAGATTAACTTCTTTATTTTTGTTTTTTTCTTAACATTCCATGAGTTTATTTCGGCTTTTTATTGGTTGAAATACTTGCGGAGGGTTTCATAAGCGGAGGGGTTGAATTGATCAACAACCCTATCATCTAAGTTATTGAAGACGTTCTTGGCTTCAAGAAATCTCACTCTTTTCGGTTTTTCTGTAGGTGATGCTAAAGCTGGCTGAATATCTCGGTTACGAACCGTTGGATCCTGAATAACATAATTTCTTAAGGCCTACATAACGCTTTTCGTTTCAAGTGACTTTTTTTTTTTTGAATGCCAGAGTAGTTCCCAGATAGGCAAACTTGTGGTACCTGAAGGTTCCCCTCTAGGAAACACCTTACCTTCCCTCTGTAGGAATTACTAAAGCTCACGAAAGTGAGCACTCTTAGGGTTTTAGATAGTAACCTAGGGGGGCATTTTTCGTTTATTGTTATTTTTTGTTGCAGCCTTATGAGAAGAAGAACTTTTAAGCCAAAAACTCATTGAATAAGCTTTATTTGAAAAGAAGAATATTAACAGAAAAATAATCGATTAAAGGCATAGGGGCAGAAAAAAACGGTGTTTCAGTTCAAAGCAGTACTTTGTAGAGCTTTTCATTGCGAATCGAACGGTAAACTTGGAAACGTACAGAAGTTCCTAGTTTTGGAGAAAAAATAATTCAAAGTCGGAGAAAAGAAAGCTTGAGTTCCCGCGAAAAGGGCGCCTTGCAGTAAAGTTGCTCTATGGACAACAGGCCTCGCCACCTTCTGGATTTTCGCTTTTTTCTTAATTTCTTTCGATTTTTAATTTTTTCTGTTGTCACCAAAGTTCTTTTCGTCACAAAAGCTTTCTATTCATGTATAATTTGCAAACTTCGATCGCAAAAATGCTTTTCTGGTGAAAAATGATGATTTTACACAGGTTTCGAGTGGGACAGCGATTATTTGTGTTTTCTTCATTATCGGTGTCTGTTTTCTGTTTTCTAAATCGATTTTTCAGAGAAGAATCCCTTGATTTGAAGCAGAAATCCGGTTATTTCTCACAGAATGCGAATCTAATGAGACGTCCGCAACATCGCGTGCACGGCTACTGTAAACATTTGTCTGCATACCGATCCAAAGCTTTTTTCAAAATTAGTCACACCTGTAATTTTTTTGAGTACACCGTTCGATTCGCAATAAAAAACTATATAAGATACTGCTTTAACCTGAAACCCCATTTTTTACTGCCCCTATGCCTTTAAGTTTCATTCAGTACGGTTTTTTCACTTTCAGATCATAAAATAGATGAAATTGAGCACCACCATGAGGAGCAGGTCGAGAGGCTTACATGGTAGGTCATTTTACTTTGCGGTTGGGATTTTCCTGGAAGTTGACCAAAAAGTTTCTTGATGTACCAGAAAATATCCTGAACGTCTCAACTTGCACAGCTCCCTTGTTCATGAGAAATAAGGGTCTAAAGCCTCAGAACAGTCTATTTTTTTGAATCGATTTTGAGGTTTTCTCGGAAACTAGGCAGTTGTGCAGGTTGCGACTTTCAGGATTTTCATTTGGTACATCAAAAAGTTTCTTGGCCGATTTCCAGGAAAATCCTAATCGCAAAGTAAAATGACCTGCCTTGTTAGGAGTCGGACCCTAAACCACTTTAGAGACCATTTTACCCTATATAATATGGAGCACCATTTTGTTCCTAAACTGGCCGCTTTTTTTTTTCTCACCAACCCAACTAGGGACCTCTCTGGCGTTCCTAGGACCTCTCCAAACAACGGATAGTTTCTCAAATCCAAGTTAGACCTCATTTTCGAAAGGTGCATTTCTCGGAAGTGCACCCGCGTCATTTCGATCTGCTCCTCCATAAATTGCACTGTAAGGGGGTGGAGCTCCTTCCTCGGGCTGAAATTCATCAACCTGTATCAACGATCAGAAAGTTTCGAAACTATTTCAGGAATATTTCTTGGGGAACAATTGTTTGATCGGCCAATATCGCTTATCTGCAAGAATGAGAAAGTTATAGGTGAGGAAAGGTGAACTAACCGAGTCTTGAGATGATCTATCAACTTTTTTGTTGTCCGTTTCAGGCTGAAAATTTTCAAATAGATTCAAACTTTCACTTCTGAATTCTTGATTCAAAAAAAACATTTTCATCCAACTCACCTCAACTAAAATGATATCCGTCCTGCGGATGGCATCCTTCGTGTTATTACAGCGGAACATGACAATATTATTAGATCTGCCGACACCTTTCGGATCTTCGATTTCAAAAGAGCCTGAAGTAATCTTCATAAGAAAGTATAAAAACAATGAATCCTACAGTAATCTGAATAGAGGACGCCGTTCCTGTAGCTGGCCTCCACCTGAAAATTCCCTCATTAAACCTTTACTTAGTAGATAAAATACTTTAAAACACTTTCCAACGGTTTCAAGAGTCCTTTTGAGGCTTTTGACAGCAGTAACATGTCCTTCATCGGTGAAATCAATGTCGATAATTTGGCCAGGCGCCAAATTGAAAGGAGTATGGATCTTGGAGAAGAAAGCGACAATTGTTCGGTACGGCTTCTTATCAAGTGTGACCATGAATGCCATCCCTTTTCCCGCCGTTGTAACCAGAGCCAAAGTGGATTGGAAGTTCTAAATGAAGCTTTTCGAACAGTGAAAGGTGAATTATCCATCAAACTCGATCTTGAAACACTTTCCAGGAATATATATTTTTTGATTGTCTGTTCCCTCTCCTCACTCACAGTAACTTCTCATGAAATGCTCTCTTCTTCTCTCGTTCTCGCGTTGCTGTGAGAGACAAGAGAGCGCAGACACGTCAGAATGTTGCAAGATCGCGCAAATGGCTCTCAAAAAAGGAAAAAATCGTTAAGCTTACGTTTGAAACTGTCATAGGAATCTGGACAACTGGCTGTTTCTTTCTCAAAATTTCACCTTGAGCGTCAACCTACAAAATATAATATTCCCAAGTATTTAAAAGTACGGAGCTCACTTCAACGGCATAAAAAGTCGTGAGGTGATCATTTTGTTTGTCAATTCGATCTTTAAAACCAACGGTGAAAATTCCAAGTTGATTTGTGTGGATTCCATCCGGGTCAGTTATTTTTATACTTTCTGAAAGTTAAGACCTAATCGTGTAAAAAATTCTAGCTTACCGCTACGAGTAGTTATAACGTTATCGATGTGCATGGCTTCCGCCTGAAAATCGTAATTGAAAAATATTTGGAAGGCTTCAATACAAACAAAGGTACCTGAAAGTAGGAGCGCCCGTTTTCGAAACTCCCCCTTTTTCTCAAAATAGCTTCGACCCCTCGATTAGCGTTCACTTTGACTTCCAGAACATCTCCTCGATATATTGGGAAATTGATTGGAGGGAAATTGCTCAAGTGGAGAACAAAGGTTCGATATGGCTGCTGCCCTAATCTGACAGCGAAAAATCGATCTTGATCTTGTTCAACGGTACCGACGAGGATTGATTCCATCTGCAGATGCGACGATTATATATATATATATATGAAGCGAAATGGAAAAATAAGCTTCTTATCACCAAAAAAATAATAAAAAAATAAGTAGAAGCAAACGTAGGGACCGCAGGCCAATTTCCAAAGTCAGTGATATAAAGTTGAAACCTATATGAAAAAGAAAGCTGATGGCAATCGAGAGCTAACTGCGAAAAACAGAAAAGAAAAAAATATGAAAAAAATGAAAAAAAGTTATAAGCAAAAAAAGTGGCGAAATCGGGGAACCATTTTTTTGTGTAGAAACTTTCGTCAGGGTCGCAGGAAAAAGGGGCGGGATTATAGATGCCGTGCACTCCTTGCTGCGCGTTAATTCACGCAGGAGACGTTTCGAAAACATATTTATTTGAGTTTTTTTAGAAGTTTTAAATGAAATATTAGAGTTTTCATATTGAATATTGCTCTTTTTTAATATGAGCCTACTCTTCAAGCACTCACGCTGCTGAAAAGCGAGTTTTGAAGAAGGTTTCAATGCATTTCGAAAAAAAAAAACCGACAAAATAGACCTTTGCGAAGGACGAACAGCATTAAACCGAATTGAAAAATGTAACAGTCCACTAAGAAATTTACTGAAAAAAATATGTAAATAATCACCAAGTCCTTTTTTTCAGAGAGTTTTTTTAAAAAATGGGCGAAAGCGTTTTTTTACTTTTGATTTTCTACTTCTTTTATTTTTTTCTCGAAAGTTTGTGCATCTACATGGAGTGTATCGTAGACAATTTTTTTCAGAATTCTTTACTTGACATTCTGAAAAAAAATTCAAAAAAAGTTGAGTAAAAGCGAAATTTAATACTTTTTCTCGCTGCTATAATGAATATAACGATATAGGAAAAAGATTCCAATTATGAAATGAGTAAAAAGCAACTATTGGCAGGAATGTTCGGCGTGACAGAGGCGTGCATTTCTCAGTTCCTAAAGCGTCGTTATGTGGTCCGACGAAAGCAAGCTCCTTCTCTTCGGAAGTGACGGAATTCAGTGGGTTCGCAGACCAAGTATGCGAAGGAGCATCTCAACTGGACCCGTCCAGACTGGAACAAGATTCTGCGGTCTGACGAAACGGTCCTCCACCATGTTTCACAGTGGGTAATTGGTATTTCGGATGATATCTGGACCTAAATGGTCTACGAACCCACTGAATTCCGTCACTTCCGAAAAGGAGGAGCTTGCTTTCGTCGGACCACATAATGACGCTTTGGGAACTGAGAAATGCACGCCTCTGTCACGACGAACTTTCCTGCCAACGTCATCATGGTCAGTCCATTTTGACGACTCACAACGATGGCTCTTTTGTCGTTATCAGTTAAATCCTTTTTTCCAGAAATTCTTCATATGTCTGAAAACATGGAAAAAAACATGGCAACATTATTACTTTCAAAAAAATTTAATAAAAAAATCAATAAAAAAATGAAAGCATAAAAACAAAAAAAATTTGAATTCAATAAAAAAATGCCTAAAAACGCGTCACAGTGATTGCGGACATATCGTTGTATACCGTATATGTTTCAAATTATATTTTTACATCATCATCTTTTTTTCTGCTCACTGTTATGGGAATAAATTATTTTTTTAAATTGAACTTCAGATTGTGTGTTAGTAAATACTATATACAGCAGAATGGTAAGCTGCGCTTTTTTGGTTGAAAACTTTTTTGAAAAAAAAAACCATTCAAAAAAGAAAGAAACTTAGTAAAAAACCTAATAAGATGCTCGAAAGGGCAGGCGAGAGATCAACAAAGGCCTCTAGAGACACCAGAGTATGAAAGATTTCTCTAACTCTCTAATTTCTACACTCTTCTCATTCTTGCTCGCTTTTGAGTTTTAAGACTTTCGATGTTTTTAAAAGAAAACTCAGTTTTTAAAAAGGCTTTTGAAATTAGAAAAAAAAAGTAGAATGTGAGTCCAAAAGACGCCTGAATGTAGGTATGGAAGGAAACGCTATCAGTATTCGGAGTGAGATTGCTATTATGAAAGAGAAGTTTCCAACTCTGATTGTTCTGGTAATACTTTTATCATTGCCAGTGTTGACTTTGGGTATGAGGTGTCCAATAGGAAATGATTTTTTGTGGCTTCATCGAAGATAGATGTGCAGCCCCCTGAAGCAACTGTTCCGCATCGTTCTTGCATAAAATAATCTGAAGTTTTCTATCCCAGTTTATGAAGATATAAAGAATATAAACAGAGGAGCGGCAATAGTAAAGACTCTGTTTTCGAATTCCACATAGGGGCCAACAAAAAATCAAAACCCCAGCCCAAAACTTTCTTCAACCTGGCGATCAGGCTAATTTGATGGTTTTCTTTTTTGTAAACTTTCAGAATAGGCAAAATTCGAATTGAAGAACGCTCTTCTTCAGGCGGAGCATATGGAATCTGAGAAATTCTTTTTTTTAGTATCACGATTATATCGATATCCAATGTGGGGGGTCATACTGTAATATACCCCAAGTAGTTTTCGGCAAGTATTCCCGGTTAGTGGTGATTATGTAGTTGAATTCTGGCGGGATCAAGTATTTGGACAGATCTTTGCATGGTCCGAGTCGGACTCAATGCCGGAGTATATCAGAATCGGCAGGGCTTGGCCATTTGTAAAATTAAAGCTTAAAATTAAATAGAAGGAAGCGAAAAAAGAAAACAAAATAAGACAAAAAGAGAGAAAGAAAGACATGGTTGGCAACGCCGAGTTCCGAGTGATGTTTAGCTGGGTGGAGTCTCATTTGTCGTTTGAAGAATTACGACGTCACCGTATGCTCTTAAGGAGAAAATGGGACTAGTATGAGCGAGGAATTGATTTCGCAATCGTCTTTCAAGAAGAAAATGTGACTAGTACAAGCGTCGGTAATTATCACCCATTATATGTGAACACTTCGCAATAGGGCGCACTTGGTTTTGCTCCTATTTCGCGGAAGTCCGAATTATTTTTATAGTCTGTTCAGATTTTGAATGTCAACCAGCTAACTCCGCCCCTGCTGAGACGGTACCTTTTCGCGTCGATGTTTTTTCGCGCGGGACTAATTTTGATCTTTTTTGATCTAAAAGATAGAAAAGAAGTCAAAAGTGCAGCCTTATTAAAGGGCCATCGTCATCTGCAGATAAAACATTGACGCGAAAGATATTGTGGATTTGGGGGTGGAGTTAGCTGCTTGACTTTCAAAATCTGAACAGACTATATCTCACCTCGCTTTTTTCTGAGTTTTTCATTTGTTTTTATGATTTATAATTAAATTACAGGGTGGGGAATACTTACTGGGACGGAAGGAAAGGGATTACCCTTCGCGTAAAAGATTCCCAAAATCGAAAAAATTTTCAATGAGACCTTGTAGTCATCCTCAGAATTGTAAGGGAACTGGCCCGTCAGCCTGTTGGCCGCCGGCCATTTTCTAAGCACGTTTTGGCCTTAGGAGACCTCAAGTAAAGAAGAACAGGCTCAAATTTTGTTCAAGTGGAATATCAAGCTTTTTTACAACAGAAGTCACATTTGTGCTTGTTAATTCACTCACAGTCCAACATAAACTATGACTTAAAAACATTTAAAGGCATAGGGGCAGTAAAAAACGGTGTTTCAGTTCAAAGCGGTTATTTATAGAGCTTTTGATTGCGAATCGAACGGTGAACTTGAAAACGTACAGAAGTTCCTAGTTTTGAAGAAAAAATTATTCAAAGTCGGAGAGAGGAAAGTTTGAGTTAAAGGGGGTTTTGCAGTAAAGTCGCTCTATGGACAACAGGCTCCGCCATTTTTCGGATTCTCGCTTTTTTCCTCGTTTCTTTCAATTTTCAATTTTTTCTGTTGTCACCAAAGTTCTTTTCGTCACAAAAAGCTTTCGATTCATGTATAATTTGCAAACTTTGA